CCCCCCTCTACCCCCCTATTGACATTTTTTAATTTTTATTTTTTAGAAATGTAGATCACGTTGAGCGAAATCGAATGCCGTTTGAATTTTGAAAATCGGCCCGTTAGATCTCGAGATATCAAGGGGGGTCGTAAACAGCCCCCCCTGCCACTAATAGGGGTAGCCAGGAGCCTGCCACTAATAGGGTTAACTAAGGCCCAAACGCTCGTCAAGCTGGGAACGGAGGGCTGAGGTGAGGGAGCGTGGCGATGAGCTGGGGTGAAGGAACGGTGGACTGGAACGAGAATCCAGAAGTTCTGGGTAGGGCGTTTCTTTATTAGGGCTTTAGGGTGCGCTGACTGCGGTAAGGTCCAAATTATCACACCAAATTTTGCCACGACATCTACCGGTTCAGGCACTCGAGAATCAGCGGCCAGTGATATCTGCAAAGACGAAGCATTTCCAACCCAGCTTCAGCCTGGTGTCAGGGCGCCTCAGGTGGCTTTAATTACAGTTGCACATACCAAACGACCTCGGTGCAGCCAGTCTGTGGCCGAAACCATTCGGAACAGACTTCAACAAAAAGTGAGACAAGGTTAGTGCTATCGTTAAGTACCATTATAGACTTGGGTCCCGTTGGCTTGACCCACTGGAAGGTGGTAGTTATCGGACGCTGCGGGGCATACTCATTTTTCCAAAATGCCTCAGATTTTGCTTTCGTGTTCATAGGCGGCGGAACGAGGAGGGCACCGGGGCACCGTGCCCCCTTTGATTTTAGCATTTTAACGTTAGCCCTGTGAGCGTTGCATGGAAAGAATGGGACCAAAAGTCGGCAGTGCCCCCATCCCCCCTTAATTGAAGGTGTTCCGCTGCTATTGTTCGTGTTTGATGCTCTTTATTCTATAGTCAGCCTTTAGACAGAGGGGGGCCACTAATGATCAGTGCCCTAACCCTCAAAAGTTTCCAACATTAATTTTTACTTTTTTATAGTGAAAACTGAAATAAAGCGGATACTGAACTGTGAACATCCAGTTTTCACACTGGCCCCACACAAGCCTCCGAATGCCCAAAGCAGATCTCTGATGACTGGCCTTTGGGTTTCATACCATACCGTACATTGGTCAATGTCGTCAATGTGTACTACCTCGCCGTTTACCATTTTATGCGCTGGAAACTGTTGCGCTCGAAAAAATCAGGGGAGTGGCTTATTATGAGCGCTCATCAGCCCTAACTACCCGCAAGCGAATGGCTAGCCCTTCCGTCTCTGCCCGCTTGCGATTTGGCACTTATGTAGGTACAAAATAGAGGCAAACGACCACTGAAGGTATGAGTTGCGTCTCTTGCACACATCTATAAATCGAATCTGAAAAGACAAAAAAAAAATGATATAAAGCGGAAATGGTTAGCATTTACACATATTCGAAAGGCACCGTTGGACAAACTGTAGGAGCACATAGCTGCAATATCAGGTTATAGAAATTTTCCTCATGTTTAGGGCACAAATTATGGAGGGGCAAGAATATACGTTTGCCCCTCCTCCAAAAGTTTCTTAGGGAACGATGCCTCCTCTGCCACCCCGTATCCGTCGCCCTGTAAGCGGTCAGAAGGCCTGGGTTGCACTTGCCGCTGCGTCACGTTGACGCTTATAATGCCTCCAAAACTAGGTTGAAGAGAGGAAAACTTCAATTGAACGTGAACGCTTGCCATTTAAGAAAGGCAACGTATGATAAAGTATATGGGCATCTGGTTACATCTTCAGATGATCGAACAGAATAATCAGATATATGGTTTCTTGTCTAAGCTTTGTCACAAATTATGGGGGGGGCAAAAAGATACTTTTGCCCCCCACGAGTTTGCCAGGGGGGCAGCTGCCCCCCTGCCCCCCCGAATCCGCCGCCCCTGCGCTAGCGCGTATCCACTGAGCTGCCGAAACCAGCGACCACTTGCCACGGTCAAACGCGATCAAATGTCATAATACTGTCATTGGTGGTCAGCGGGTGAATGCCATTTTGTTTTGTGCGGATGAGGACCATTCTCGGTAGCTCAGTGGATGAACGCTCGTGTCATGAATTGGCCGGTGGTAGAAGCCCGGTTCGAGCCCCCCTGAGTGGCCGACTTTTTGGCTCCTAGTTTGAACGGTTTGCTATTGGAGGCTGCGACCACATATTAGAGCAGCAGTAATAATCGCTTTAAATTGGAGCGTTGGCTGCGGCACTACTCATAACCCCCAGTTCCCACGTCTCTGGACGATTGCCGTGCGAAACAATAGACACCAATCTGCTCAATCAAGGCCTTAGTACTAATATGTTATACAAAATACATATAGCTCCGCACCTCGATGCACGAGTGACATAAGTTCTATCGGCTGTCCCATTGCCACGCTTAAGTGTGTCGTAGTGTGCATTGCAAGTATGATGATAGGCGCTGTCTTGGGGATAGGACGTTTTAACAACTGCTTTAGCACAATTGTTAGGTAGAATAATTATTGGCGCCTTGAGACGCGAAAGTTAACTACACTCGCTCAGCCGCGCGATGTCCGTGCTCCCACCCCACCTCACTCCCCAGCCCTCGCCAGCCGCCGCGCCGCGCCGACCCGAGCCATGCCTCCGGGCTCGGCCCTCACCGCTGCGCTGACGTCACAGGCGGCCCACATCGCCTTCCAGCCACCGACCCAGACCGGTGGCATACGGTGTGGGTAGGCTGTGCCGCTTGACAAGTAAGTGAAGCGGCACAGTCTACCGGTACCAGGCGGCTGCTGCCAATGCTGAGCCATAGGAACCCGGTGGATAAAGAGTTGTGGAACATCAATCTGCCCCCGAGTGTACCCCTCGCAATTTCGTACATGCAAGGCCCACCCTCTCGAACTGAGAAGTAAGGACAACATCGTCTTTATTGATCTACCGACTGGTGCGTCGCTGCCATTGAGTCCATCATTGTGCAATGTGCAATGTGCATTGTGCAGTGTACACAGTCTGCACCTTGCCGCTCGCGGAGGGCACGATCCTAATGGAGCTGCCGTCACCACGATTGCCTTTGTGAGGTGGCCGTCAGTCCGGAACAGTCAGCTGTGATCAGGTATGAGGAGACCAGGAACCTAATTTGGGTACCTGTAGGAAATTGATTGATGTTAATTGTGACAAAGTTAAAAAAACGGTCGAAATTTTGTTGAGGTATCGAGGTTTTATTGACGTCATCCTTTCTGAGTTTTCGACCAAAATGGCATATATGTTCAAAAAAATCATATAAAAGCACAGAATAAAGATACAGACATGCCGTAAACGCAATTAGACTGTCAATACCATTAACAATCAAATGGCTATCTTCGATTTTTGATTGTCGTTCCGCATTTTCCAAAATCTTGAACTGAATCTTGGCAATTTCTCGTGACTATTTCACGACCATGATACAGGGTGACACAAAAAAGCGGTCATCACCAAAATTCGAATAACTTCGGAAGTTTTATTCAGATCATCACCAAACTTCGGCCACTTTAGGTCACACCTATGTAGCAGACATCCAGGCAGACATCCACCAAGTTTCAAGTCTTCACTACGAATACTTTTAGTACAGTGTGTGTTTTACGGACGCTCCACAATGTGCTCCAGATGAGCGCCCCGGCGCTGCAGGGCGTAGGCACACCTGCATCCGGCGGGCAAAGTTGCCGATAACCCGATAAGAATAACGTTTCAGGGGGTAGCACACCCCCTGAGCACTGTCTCCAGAGGCCATTGCTTTCTGTAAAGTGCACAGCCATCGGGTTATCGACAACTTTGCCCGCCGGATGCAAGTGTGCCTATAGACCTGCAGCGCCGTGGCGCTCACCTGGAGCACATGGTGGAGCGTCAGTAAAACACACACTGTACTAAAAGTATTCGTAGTGAAGATTTGAAACTTGGTGGATGTATGCTACATAGGTGTGACCTTAAGTGGCCGAAGTTTGGTGATGATCTGAATAAAACTTCCGAAGTTATTCGAAATTTGGTGATTACCGTTTTTTTTTTGTGTCACCCTGTACATGCATTTCTTAAACTGAGCCATTTGAACCAAACACGTACACATATGATAAAATGAATGTTACCATGGTGTTCTACGCCCAAAATTACCCATAAAACATGTGTCACAGGCTGCGAATATCAGTTTTGATTTTCGGGGATATTAGCCTACCTGGTTGACCTGACCTTGACCCTGACCTATGCTTGCCTGACCCCTACATGGATCTGACACTCTTGTATGCCTTAGATGATGGCTTGTGCACAGTTTTGACAGAGTTTATGACGAGAGACGCCCATTGCGAGTTTCTGAAGTCCATACTACTGAAAGCCCGATTTCAGTTGTTCGACCTGACCTTGACCCGACCTGTGACCTCAAAATTCAGTTGTAAAGTACTCATCTGAAGCGTCTCGTCGCGCTCTTTTGTTTGCCGCTTCGTGCGTTTCGCTGCGCCTATTGGTTCTCGAGTTATCGGCTGGAGGCGTTTAACGCCCCCCCCCCCCCCCCAGCAAACGGCGGGTGGCGAAATACCCCAACAATTGCCGGGTTTTAAAAAGACGGACAAGAAAACTATTTGACAAATAACGTTGCGGAACGGAAGTGTTCGAGAGCTGCAAGGCCTAATCGTGCAGAGCCAGTAGCGGCGGAACACCTTCAATTAGGGGGGGGGGGGGGCACTGCCGACTTTTGGTCCCATTCTTTCCATGCAACGCCCATAGGGCTAATGTTAAAATGCCCAAATCAAAGGGGGGGGGGCACGGTGCCCCGGTGCCCTCCCCGTTCCCCCGCCTATGTGAAGAGCGTTCATAAGTGTTGAAATGTGTGCAAAGCTCATGTATCATAACAATAATGTTAACGGGTAGGGTCGCATGCGTGCTGTCGCCTTGGATTGGAAAGAAGAAGCTGTGTCACTTTAACGTCAATAATTTCTATGTTAGAAAAAAAAAAACACCACGAACTAGGACTTTTGCCTTTAAATGTTCAGTGTGGCCAATCATCTGATCCATTGTCTCTCATGAACACAATCCAAATATGCTTCACCTACATGTATTTCACATTCAAATTTCAATAACGATTTGCAAACAATCAACAACAGTGCACCCGAAGCGGTCAAATACGGCTTTGGTGCACCGAACAGAATCGGCGAGTAACAGTGGCGCCCGGCCGGTCGTCTAGAGGACTTTGGTCTGCGGCCGGAGCGTCCAGAGGGCCAGGCCAACGACCCCGGTCCAGAACGAGGTGCCCAGGGCAGCGCTGCCGGGAGGCCTGCAACGAACACAGACCTACAGTCAACCGTTTGCAGTTTTCCAATGGAAAACCGCGAATATCTATACAGAATAAGGATCGATTACTCGCATTCCGCTAAAGCGTTTAGTTGTTTTCCTGTCTTGTATATAATTTTCTACTTTTTAATTAACAGAGTGCAAAATACGAGGCTGCCACTTGTCTGTCCTAAACAGTGTAACAGTCGCAAACATCACCAGGGAGACGTGCAGATTGCAATAAGAACCCTCAGCCGGCCCACGTATGGACACTCACTTGGTGTAGAGCGGCGTGCTGCTGTATTTCGGCTTCTGAGCTGGTCTCCTCACCTTGATTGTGTTCTGTCGGTGACGACACGGACTGTCATTGTCAAAGGTTACAAATGTCACATTTTGACGCGGCACGTAGACACATTGCATCAGTTGCAGTTTTTTTACAAAATGTAAAAGTAAATGCGAGACATATGAGCAGGATAGAAATATTAGTAAGAGAAGAGCAAACAAGATTACAAGATCTAGACAATCACTAAAAAGAAATCCAAATCCAAAAACACGTTTAAAGTAAGTAATGCATAACAATAAGGTACGTACCACCAGTTTTTCTACGCTGGACGAGAAGGGAGCAAGGTTTTCTGAAGTTTTTGAGCTCCAGAAGATATTTAGAAGTCCATATGAGCGGGATGAATCCTGTGGGTCAACTGTGTCTACACTATTACCTTGAAGGGTATTTCTGGCCTCCGCAATAAGATCATGATCAGGTACTTCAGATAAGCGCATTTTAACCACCGAACTCTGCCGAACTCCTTCATAAGCTCGCTTGGTTTCCAACCGCCATTCTTCAGAACGCCTGTTGTCGGCCCGCCTGGCGTTTAGCCGTCGCTCCTCAGAACGCCTGTTGTCAGCCCGCCGTGCCTCAACACGTCGCTCCTCAGAACGCCTGTTATCAGCCCGCCTTGCGTCCAGCCGTTGCTCCTCAGAACGCCTGTTGTCGGCCCGTCTCTCCTCAGAACGCCTGTTGTCAGCCCGCCTTGCATCCAAACGCTGAACCTCAGAGCGCCTGTTATCATCCCGCCTTGCGTCCAGATGTCGTTTCTCAGAACGCCTATTGTCAGGATGCCTCGCGTCCAAACGCTGTTCCTCAGAGGGCCTGTTGTCAGCCCGCCTTGCGTCCTGTCGTCGTTCCTCAGAACGCTTGTTGTCAGCCCGCCTTGCGTCCAATCGTCGTTCCTCAGATCGCCTGTTGTCAGCCCTCCTCGCGTCCAAGCGTTGTTCCTCAGAACGACTGCTGTCAACCCGCCTTGCGTCTAGACGTCGCTCTTCAGAGCGCCTGTTCTCAACACGTCTCTCCTCAGAACGTCTGTGGTCAGCCCGCCGTGCATTCAAGCGTTGTTCTTCCGTACGCCTGTTGTCAATCATTTGTCCCTCAGAACGCCTGTTGTCGACCCGCCTTGCGTCCAAACGCTTCTCTTCAGAACGGCGATTGTCAACCCGTCGTGCCTCAACCCTTCGCTCCTCAGAATGTCTGTTGTTGAATCGCCTTGCGTCCAAACGTGGTTCCTCTGACCGTCTGTTGTCAACGCGCCGCTCCTCAGGACGCCTGCTATCCACCTGCCTTGCGTCAAGAAGCAGTTCCTTAGAGCGCCCATTGTTGAACCGCCTTGCGTCCAAACGTCGCTCCCCAGAACGTCTGTTGTCAGCCCACCTTGCGGCTAGATGTTGTTCCTTAGACGGCCTATTGTCAACCCGCCGCTCCTCAGAAAAACGCCTGTTTTCAACCCCTCGGTTCTCAGAACGCCGTGCCTCAACAGGTCGCTCCTCAGAACGTCTGTTGTCAACCCGTCTTGCGTCCAGCCGTCGCTCCTCAGAACGCCTGTTGTCAGCCCGCCTTGCCTCCAGGCGTTGTTCTTCAGGGCGCCTGCTGTCAACCCGCTGTGCCGCAGCCCGACGATCCTCAGAACGCCTGTTGTCAGCCTGCCTTGCGTCCAAACGCTGTGCCTCATGGGGCCTATTGTCAACCCACCGCGCCTCAGCCAGTCGCTCTTCAGAACGTCTGTTGTCAACTCGCCTTGCGTTCAGCCGTCGCTCCTCAGAACGCCTGTTGTCAGCCCGCCGTGCCTGAACCCGTCGCTCTTCAGAGCGCCTGTTATCAGCCCGCCTTGCGTCCAGCCTCTGCTCCTCAGAATGCCTGTTGTCCGCCCGTCGCTCCTCAGAACGCATGCTGTATACCCGCCTTGCGTTCAAACGCTGCTCTTCAGACCGGTGGTTGTCAACCCGCCGTGCCTCAACCCGTCGCTCCTTAGAACGCATGTTTTCGGCCTTCCTTGCGTCCAGCCGTCGCTCTTCAGAACGCCTGTTGTCGGCCCACCTTGCGTCCAGCCGTCGCTCCTCAGAAAGCCTGTTGTCAGCCCGCCGTGCCTCAGCCCGTCGCTCTTCAGAGCGCCTGTTGTCAGCCCGCCTTGCGTCTAGACGTCGCTCCTCAGAACGTCTGTTGTCATCCCGCTGTGCCTCAACCCGTCGCTCTTCAGATCGCCTGTTGTCGGCCCGCCTGGCGTCCAGCCGTCGCTCCTCAGAACGCCTGTTGTCAGCCCGCCTTGCATCCAAGCGTTGTTCCTCAGAGCGCCTGCTGTCAACTCGCCTAGCGTCTAAACGTTGTTCCTCAAGGCGCCTGTTGTCGACCCGCCGCATCTCAACTCGTCGCTCCTCAGAACGCCGGTTGTCAGCTCGCCTTGCGTCTAAACGTTGTTCCTCAAGGCGCCTGCTGTCGACTCGCCGTATCTCAACTCGTCGCTCCTCAGAACGCCGGTTGTCAGCCCGCCTTGCGTCCAAACGTTGCTCCTCAGACCGCCTTGCGTCTAGACGTCGCTCCTCAGAACGTCTGTTGTCATCCCGCTGTGCCTCAACCCGTCGCTCTTCAGATCGCCTGTTGTCGGCCCGCCTGGCGTCCAGCCGTCGCTCCTCAGAACGCCGGTTGTCAGCCCGCCTTGCGTCCAAACGTTGCTCCTCAGAACGTCTGTTGTCATTCCGCCGTACCTCAACACGTCGCTCTTCAGATCGCCTGTTGTCGACCCGCCGCATCTCAACTCGTCGCTCCTCAGAACGCCGGTTGTCAGCCCGCCTTGCGTCCAAACGTTGCTCCTCAGAACGTCTGTTGTCATTCCGCCGTACCTCAACCCGTCGCTCATCAGAACGCCTGTTGTCGGCCTGCCTGGCGTCCAGCCGTCGCTCCTCAGAACGCCTGTTGTCAGCCCGCCTTGCATCCAAACGTTGTTCCTCAGAGCGCCTGCTGTCAACTCGCCTAGCGTCTAAACGTTGTTCCTCAAGGCGCCTGTTGTCGACCCGCCGCATCTCAACTCGTCGCTCCTCAGAACGCCGGTTGTCAGTCCGCCTTGCGTCCAAACGTTGCTCCTCAGAACGTATGTTGTCATTCCGCCGTACCTCAACCCGTCGCTCCTCAGATCGCCTGTTGTCGGCCCGCCTGGCGTCCAGCCGTCGCTCCGCAGAACGCCTGTTGTCTTCCCGCGTAGCGTCTAGGCGTCGCTCCCCAGATCGTCTGTTGTCAGCCCGCCTTGCCTCCAAACGTTGTTCCTCAGAACGCCTGTTGACATCCCGCCTTGCGTCCAAACGTTGTTCCTCAGAGCGTCTATTGTCCGCCCGGCGCTCTTCAGAACGCCTGTTGTCGGCTCGCCTTGCGTCCAGCCGTCGCTCCTCAGAACGCCTGTTGTCGGCCCACCTTGTGCCGAGCCGTCGCTCCTCAGAAACTCTGTTGTCAGCCCGCCTTGCATCCAAACGTTGTTCCTCAGACTGCCTGCTTTCAACACGCCGTTCGTCCAGCCATCGCTCCTCAGAACGTCTGTTGTCAGCCCGTCGCTCCACGGAACGCCGGTTGTCGGCCCGTCGTTCATCAGACCGCCTGTTGTCAGCCCTCCTTGCGTCCAAAAGCCGTTCCTCGGAATGGTCTTGTCTGGTCGCACTCTGCTCAGGCTCTGCATGGGAATTAACCAATGTTTCATCTTTTATTATTTCTTGTTTCGCAGCTTCATTCTTGCATGTTCCAGTTTCTGGTTTTAGGTGAGAGGCTGTAGTAAGCTCAGATTCGAGAGCCGTTAAGTCATGACTTTCGGTAGCTGCCCATGACTGATGTCCTTCAGTTAGCTTGGGACCGTTTTGGCAAGCGGCCACAAGCAGAATGAGAAGACCGATTTTTCGACACATCCTGTGAACGAAAAGAAAGAGTTTAGCCGAGGTATCCTTGCATATAAATTTACAAACTTGAGCTTTAAAATACAAAATATTTACAAAAATTTAACTCTTGGATATTGATTTATTCACTAGCCAATTGTTTTTGCCTGATGTAAAAAAGGAGCACTATTGCACTTAAGCAGCTTCGTTGGATCTTTTTACAAAATTTCTCGGCATTCAATTCCGAATAGGTGAAGAAAACAACGTCCTTGATTTTTGAACGTCCAGGATATACTTAATGTCAACAATTTTCTTTTTTTGGAATATCATGAAACAGAGACAGCACACCAGCAGCGTGGGTACTCACACTGAGCCCGGCATCCCCCGGTACTGACCTGTCGGCCTGGCTGGCGCCCGCAGCCCGGCGGTCCCCGGCGCTCCGGTGTCTCCGCTGACGCTGAGGCAGACGAAGCTGTGGTTGCCGCTGCAGCCGGGACCACGCCCTGGACACCTCTGAGCCCCCTCCGCGGCCGGCGCCGTTTTGTAGCGGCCCGAACGACCACTGATGAGACTTGTGACGTCACAGCAGACGTCACAGAGAAGCTGCGCCGACCGATAACAGCGTAGCTGGTGGAAATTGACTATTTGTTGTCCATTGCAGCTACATCATTCAGCACCGTGTCACTATATTTGGACGTGGGTTGCGTTAGCCACGCCATTATTCTCTAGCTTTGCAACACAACTGAATATCATATAAGAACTATTTTACTTTAGAATAAAATACCAAATCTTCGTAAGAAAAAAACCACACCGATTGTTGGTAGGATCATTTTCATTCTTTCATGCAAGATAAGACATGCCTGAATGAATGTTATTACATCTTGTCCTAAAATAGGCGAAAATTGTGTATCACTTACAATTCAGTGAACTCATACCAACATAACATCCCAACACCCACGAATTAACCCGCGCCCCGCTGGGGGGGGGGCAGAATCTGCCCCCCCTCCCGTTATTTGCCAATAACTTCTCAACGCGTTAGGCCAGCGACGTCAAACTTTCAGTACCTTATAATACATCAATTTGACACGTTCCCTGAAAATTTGAGCGAAATCCGTCGGATTTTTTTTTTTTTGAGAAAATGACGTTTTAGTGACGTCATGTTCGCCATTTTCGCCTCAAAAACGGCAAAATACAACTTGCGTTCTGAGGAGCGACGGGCGGACAACAGACGTTCTGAGGAGCAACGGCTGGACGCAAGGCGGGCTGACAACAGGCGCTCTGAAGAGCGACGGGTTGAGGCACGGCGGGCTGACAACAGGCGTTCTGAGGAGCGACGTCTAGACGCACGGCGGGCTGACAACAGGCGTTCTGAGGAGCGACGGCAAACGCCGCTAACATTCTCGTTTTTAAAGGAATCAAGACGTAACAAAAAAAGGTTATACGTGATTTTACTTTGTCGATCAAATGGCTATCTCGTTTTTTTTTTTTAAATTTTGGATTTTTGCCCAATTCTTTTTTTCTTCAAAAAACTGATTTTGGGGGGGGAAATAATTATAAAATCCAAAATTTTGAGTGTATCGAAAAACCGGAATATATGTCAGAGAACTGGTCTATGTGCACCTACATATCAATTTTTAGAAGGATCGGTTAAAAAATGTGGGAGTTTTTCAAAATTTTATGACGTCCCGACAACAAATTTTTGAAAAATGACTTTTTTGAAGTTCTAGACCTCGTACGGAAACAAAAATATCACCATTCGATTCACCGTGAAAAACTGCATCAGATAGACACCTTTTTAGGCCTTAACAACCAACTTCAAAATTTGACCTCACTTGACCTGACCTTGACCTACCCTCGACCTGAAATTCATCCAGATGTGGTCCATATCACTTATTGAGTGTGCCTATTGAATTATATGAATAAAATGACCCATAAAACATGTGTCGCACATGCCCTTTTCTATATTTTGTTTTTGGTGACCTGACCTGACCTGACCTGGCCTGACCTTGACCTTGACCTTTGAATGATATTGTATGCAACGAATATTGTCTTGGTAGCCTAAGAACATGTTTTGGGCAATCAGTCTCAGTCCATTCTTCGGCAACTACGGTGCAAGGCTGATGATGTAGAAACTTGCATTTTGTACCCTTGACCTGACCTTGACCTGACATCCTAAAGCAAAAAAATTTGGGCTCTTAAGATCCACCTTGTTGAGAGCTTTCGATTGCCATTTTCCCCGTCTTTCTACGACCATCCGTTCGGAAGTTACACAGGGGGGGGGGGGCAGAATCTCCCCCCCCCCCCAGCAGGGCGCGTATGGCTGAATAGCCCAGCGGGGCGCGGGTTAATAGGCATGTAATGTAATTTGTTAAGAGTTTATGACCCCATCCTCAGAGCTTTTAAAAAGTTTAGGTCAAAAAGAAGTTTTGTGCTTTCAATCCTGATGAAAACCAGTGTTCAAAGTTATCGATAAACTTAATTTGCATGAACTTTTTAAGAGCTACAAGGATATGGCATGCACATTTCACCATTTTCAAAAAAAAAAGATCCTCGTACATACATTAACTAGCATGAAAAAATACCGAACCAAGAATGCACAAGGAGTTTGCTTGGCGGGTAAATGGCTTCTCTGGTAAACCTTTGCTCTTGTATTTTTTACGTTGCCTGGGGATTATATGCAATGATATGCTATTTATGGGAGATTTTAAATGAACTTAAAGATGATAGACCAAGAAATCGCGATCACCCGAACCCCTCCCATCTTCATCCCTTGGAGCGAAGGGAACGGTGGGGTGGCCAGGCGATAAAAAGAGTCAAAAAAGGCAGCTTGGTTGACTTTGCACTCGAGCTGTAAATTCCGTTAAGATAATGAACCCGTTTTCAGATCTAAACAATTTGCCGCAGTAAAGTGTATAAGAGGATGGCGAAGAAGTAACGGAAGAACTACGGATGTAAAGCTAGGTGATATATAGCCGGTCACTTGTGTTCCATCTTTGTTGGTTTTAGATTTATTTGAATCTTTTCCATTTAGGCCGAAAAAGCCAGGGATTGCACTTTTGATGTCTCAGAATACCTCAAGAAGCATTGTGCTTTGCGCACAAAGACAAACAAGGAACATTCCAATTGAATTTTTATAATAAAACTTGTTTTGCATTTTGCTACATAATTTTGCTAGTTACGCATTTTAGGTACTACATAATTTTGTTAGTTACCAGCTTCATGCTATAAGTTACGTTACGTTAAATAGTTATATTAAATAACTACGTTACGATAAATACCTACGTTAGAGTTACGTTAAATAGTTACGAGCTAGATGCTTCATGTATCAGGGTAAGCAGTTTCAAGTATCAGCAGGCTAAATGAAATGAAACTTCATTAACAACAGATTGGTTATATATGCTGGCCAGAGTGTAACAAGACGTGCAATGTCGGTGAAAGTGTACGATTCTACTAAAAAGGAAAAAGAGGACAATAAATGGCATATCTTTATGCCATAGATTGTTGAAAATAAACAGATAATACTCAGACGGAGGAGCTGGTTGGTTTATACAATAAAGTAAAATGCATAACTACATAAGCCAGTGGTCTTAACCTAATTGCATACAATATGACATAAATAAGCAAGCGACAGCATGCTGCATGACAATACAAATAACAAATAAAAAGGACACTTTGAACCCGAACTCAATCTGTTTTCCAGCAGGCCACATCAGGATAAATGAAAAAAATTTACTCTCTAGCCACTTCTGAAAATCTTAAGAAAGGCTGCACAAGTCTGCTGTTGATACAATGCCTATTCATGCTATAAAATGAATGGATCTGAATTTTCCAGGCCTCATACCACGCTGCGCCGCAGCCTCTATCAGGCGCTCCAGACTCGCCGGCCGGCGGCCGCCATGGGCGTCATCACACGCCATCGCTCGGCGGGCCGTCATCGGGGCGTGTCGACGGGCCGTCATCCCGCTGCGGCGTTCGGCTGTTTGTCAGCAGACAGAGGGGAGCTGCCGTTATCGGCGGCGGCAGACCGACGGCGGCGGCCGTCCGTCAGGGCTGCGGGCCGCGCTCCAACAGGGCGCGTTATCACCCCTGGCCAGCGGGCTGCGGTAACAGGGCCGGCGCCGAGCCGGACCTCGCAGCGGCTATCACAGAGTGCGTCACCGGGGGCTGCCTCCGCCGCAACACAGACAAGGCACCCATAGCAGTGTTTGGTTGAAAAAAGAAATAGTGTGTCTTAGCCCAAGTCGCCATTTTGAAGGTTCGGGTCATGACTGTGGAAGTGTACAACAATATACCTACATACATATGTGTCCAAAGGGCAGATTGCCGCGGTTCAGGTGGGGGCATTTGTGCTGCTGTAAATTAATGCATGTGCAATCCCTTTTAGTGTTATGCTCACACCGCAAATGTTATGAGCACGTAAGCAGCATGCCAGATCAAGAAGTACTTCTGAATTTTCTAAAGCTCATTCAGACAATCAGGCGTTCTGCTATATTGGTTTCGTTATACCTTCTCCCTGATTGCACACTCTGGCTTCTCGTTTCATTGAAACGTCATTGAATTGTTTTATAAAATGATTAATATGGCATGGAATAGGTAAGCGAGAAGGATAAGCCCCTTCCAATATCGCTCCCTTGCATTTCGGACCTCATTTGATGTCGTCAGCAGACTGGTTATTGATTCACCTTTTTTTGATCCATTCAATCATTTATCCATTAGATTTTTTGTTCGATTCAATCAACGTTCGATTCCTTCATAAATTTTGTGAATCGATTCCTTTTGATTCAGAGAAAACAAAAAAATGATTTGGAAGGAATGTTTGATTTAGCCCAAAATTTATTAAACAATTCTTTTTCGATTTGATTAAAAAAAACTAATTCAGGGATAGTATTGTACCTATTTGTTGTGTTATTTATGTTGTCATGCAATTATCACATGACAGTAGTGTTAACATTTACTGATAATGAGCTATGTTCACTTCATTTTTTTAAGGCGGTTCATGACTCGTTAATTTTGTTGATTCAATCAACCCTGATTCCTAATGCGTTTGATTCAATCATGGCTTGTGAATCGAGCAATCCTAAAGGCGAATCAAACCTTTTTGATTCCACAAATTTTGTTTGATTTAATCCAATCGATTAAATCACGTGTGAATCGAACACCAGTCTGGCGGTCAGAATTTTTTTCAGAGCAAGGCATCTTATGCATGCAGTCGCTTGGAGTTTGGAGACGAAGCTTTTAGGAATGAGCAAGCTCCTGAATCTGTCAACTTGGATAACAATAATTTAACCCTCGCCGGACCTATTGGTTTTCTACATACGCGCCGGCCGAGGGGGGGGGGGGGAGCGGGGGCGGGTACGACCCCCCCCCCCCGCCGTTTCGCCCCTGGTGGAGCTAGCGCGTCGCAGAAAAAACGAGCGTGTGCGCCGTTACGAGAAGCAGCGGATTTTAAGGTCCTAGGTCAACCGGTGACCTCTGAGGTCAGGTCAAGTGCCCTAAGGTACGGTTCCGTTTTTGGTGAATAACTTCGCAAAAAACGGCCGCAGAGCGCCGATTTTGGCAGCATCGTAATCGCCTCGCTCAGGCGCGTCGAATGATATACTTTTTGTTCGGGTCAGGTCAACTTAGGGTGCTGACCTCAGGTCAAGGTCAGGTCAGCGCCCCCAGGTCACGAAGTTGGTCGAAAGAGGTCATGTCGCATATCATTTGATTCGGCAGGTCTTCCTGAGTCCATTGGTGGCTTTCCCCACTCTCTAGCTCAATTCGATCGGGAGTTATTGACGAAAAACTAATATGACCTTGATGACGTCATAAATGACGTCACACAAGGTCAACATTGCAAAAGTGACGCATCTAACCTTGCAAGGAGTGCATCAAATCACGATTATGTGTGATTGAGATAGTTGGAGATCGTTCCCGGCGCCAGAATAGCAGTTTTCATTTTTCCCCATTGACTTATAATGGTGAGGTCACGAAAATGACCTAACCTCATATGACCTTTAGGAAAAATCCGAGATATAAAAGCTGTGAGACTAGTAATGGGTACTAGATCCTGCAAGTTTCATTTTCCACTGAAAGCTCCTCTGGCAGTGAGGCCGTTGCGAAGTTGCGACATCTGAAGACCGTGCAGAGGTTCACTTATGACGTCATAGGTCAGTGACCTGACCTGACCTGAAAATGCGGTTGGTGTCAAAAGATCCGGCTTGAATCAAAGGTCAGGTATGCTAAGATTCAGCTCTCTATTGCCTGCGTGTTCGGAGCTATCGCGAAAAAACCCTATGGGTGCGGCACCCGCCCCCCCCCCTCCCCTCGGCCGGCGAGGGTTTATCATTTTCTTTACATTAATTTAAGCAAAGTATATGATGAATTTCATAACTTGAGTGTCCTCTGTGGTCAGGATATTTACGTGATGTACAATATACCTAATCATTACCGCATTATGGGGGAAAAGCGAAAACTGCACATTAAGCGGTAAAAATGATTATTTGGCATCGACCGCTACAGATAAATTGTGATTTCATACCGTACATGAAGGTTTTTCAGAATTTTTGGTTCCTGCGATTTGTACCTCAAGTCTGAAATAAAGACATCGAATCCATGATTTCCGGTCTGGAAAAGGTGGGTCTCCCCCCCCCCCCCCGTTGGCTGTCATCCCAAAATCAGCAAAGTAGATCAAAATGTGCATTTCCAATGAATTTGCTGACCATGCTGAAAACCATGGCAGCTTCAAATGTTATGGGCCGTTTACTATGCTCAATAGTTACACCCAAAGAACGGTTCGGCCAACTGCGCTCAAGTTTGTTACGATGTTAGAAACCATTTTTAGAGATAAGTTACAAAGCCCGTTGGGTCTATTTTTCGTGCACATGCGCATGTTCTGCTTTCGCATCTCCAACTAAAAATAAAAAAATAAATAACTTGGCTGATGGTACTCGAAGTTGGCATATCATAACGGACTGTTTAGAATGGTGGCCTGAGGTTTACACATGTCGATGGGTGCTTGGCTTTGCACGTCCTCATAGGAAAAATACAGCATTTATTTCGTTCGTCCTCAGCTCAAAAGACGTCTTACTGGTGATGAATGACAAATTTGGCTTGGATGATCCAGTATGTTTTGTTCGTTTTACCCATACACCTGCTAGATAAAACATTTTAAACGATAAATATATTTCGCATCCCACTTTAATTCGATTATTTCAACGCCTGACACAGTATATGAACCGATTGCCCATTGCATCACGCATGCAAAAACGTAAACAGACACTACAATGCGTTGATTAACCTAACAGCAGATCATTATTCGCGAATCTGCTGCTGAAAGCCAGATATTCGCTGTTTGCGAACATGCTGCTATTTGGATGTTTCAGAAGAAGAGCATACCAAGCCCAGACTGAGCTTGACCATATTTGGCCCATGTTGTGCTAAAAAGCGAAATAAAGCCAATAATCTCATGCCTTTACTCTCGCCTTTGGAAGAAAGGTACATACCTACACTCAGGTGTTATTTGTTGTTGTTTTTTACATCGTACATCCCAATTTGGACCAAATTTAGGCTGAGAAGGGCCAAAATCAACATGGGCTAATTAACGCGGGCTAATTAATTAAATCAACGTACCTAGGCTAGCAATAATTTCAGGCCAGTAGCAGCATGGTTGAGAACAGCGAATGTCGGTCAAACAGCAGCAGATTCGTGAATATAAATCTGCTGCCAGGTTGACAAACACCATTGCTATTCCAACACTTGATCTGAATCCTCCCTATCCTTTCATTTCATCCATCGCTCTTTGCTGTCGGCTCGAACTAGCTCCCAGAACCAGTCCCTCATCAGCGCAGTCCGGTGCGGAGGCAGTGCGGTGGGTTTGCCTCAGATGGCAGCACGGACGGCACAGTGGAAAAGGGAGAGGACGCCGCGATCGCGCACTCCGGTGAGTTTCGTGGAGAAAGGAGGTTGTATTTTTATTATTGTCTACCATCCTCCTAGAAAGTTCCGTTTGCTTCGTAGGTATATTAACCCGCACCATGCTGGAGGGGGGTCTTTTAACGCCCCCCCCCCTCAGGTTTTTTGCAAATATCTCAAAAACGGCGGTTTTTGGTACACCTGTTTAAACATAATTTCCACACATGTGAAAATTTCAGGCCCAGGTCGTTCAAAGTCAGGTCACCAGGTCACGTCAAGTGATCTTACCTTGGAAAAAGTTCAAAGGCTCGCTATAACTACACTGACCGAACGATCACTTTGAAACTTTCAGCGATTGATATGAGTAACGGCATGTATAAAATGTTTGTCTCGGATTTTTGTTATCTGTGACCTAAGGTCAGGTCAATTTTGCGACCTCTCCATTGTAAGTCAATGGGAGAAAATTGAAATGCGCCTCTTTTGAACGAATGTCGTTCAAAACGCTCTCAAATATCGGTTCATAGGTAAACATGACACACTGAATCGAAACAAATGCACCTGGACCCCTCTGTGTTCCCTAGAGGTCATCTCAGGTCATGAACGGTTACCAGCAGTTTTTTTTTTGGCTAAAACTTTTGATAGAGACGTGCTAGAGCGGTGAACACACGTCACCTGTGTTTAGTTTGACGATACGAATCGACTGATATGCAACATGACCCTTTCCGGTCAGGTCATGACCTTGACCTGAGGTCAAATTTTCAAAATGACCTTCTAAGGTCAACAAATAGATCATTCGACGCGTCTCGACGAGAGGAACACGATGCTGCTAAAAGTAATGTCGTGGCTCTCTAGTGTCAAAAGTTATTAACGAAAAACAATTTTCGGGAAAACGGCTATTTCTACAGTTTTTGTCCTCTGGAGGCTAAACCGTTGACCTGAGGTCGAATCTGAGAACAACACTCTATAAAAGGGCTATCGCATGCGCTTTTCAGCAGCGCTGTACAGTCGCTGTACCAGTAGCTCTATTGGTTCCCGAGTTAGCCGTTGGCAATCTCCAAAATTGTTGAAATGGACTAAATTTGACCTTTGATGACCTCTGGTGACCTGACCTTTGACCTAACCTAAAAAATAACCCCAGTGTTTCCGTCATCATTTTTGACGCTCTTACGATTGCCGCTTACCGCGTGTCGCTACGTAGCCCAGGAGCCAAATTAAAGGGGGGCGTGAAAACGCCTCCCCCAGCACGACACGGAAAACACAGGCCACCAGCACGGCGCGAGTTAAACGTATGTATGTACGGCCCTCCAGCAAAAGAGTGGTTGGTTAGCCTATGTGCTTTTTGTGCAATAACTTTGAATGACAGAGACACTCATGTAAAATGACTCAATAGAAATGAGAAGAGGGCTCGTGCACACACTTCGGCAATAGTTTTTAACAGCCATGAGACGTATTCATCAATGCAGATCGATTATTGTGATGATGGCAACCAACCACTTAGTACCTGGAGGGCCGTACCTTCAACACATATACCGTCGTCGTGTTAGACCATGTTGCGTGAAATGACGTCGGGCTAAGGGGAGCGCCAACGTTTGCACTTCATACTAGTCACAACTCACACATCACTCTTGCACTCGAAGGTAAGTGTTTAACGTGTTTTCTTTTTTTTTACGTTAACGATTGACGGGTTAACGTGTTAAACTGTAACGTGTTTCGAAAGAAGAATCACGCTCATCTCGGCATGAACTGAAAGCGAGGCTGCACATCAAGAAGTGTAATGTAACAATACGTACGAGTATGTTGTTACATGTGTAGGTGTTATCATGTTTATTAGATACCTATAGTGCATTGGCATACATATCATTTATAAAAAGACATTAATAAAGCCTCACATTTGTTCGGCCTCTCATGCAGTACAGGTTAGTTGACAATGTCTGCATAGGTACTAGTGGTGTCAATTTCAGAAAACGTATGTCCAAAGTCTGTCCAATGTCCAATGCTTACGTCGATTGTCCGTCCAAAAATGTCCAAGCCAGCCATTTGTCCAAAGATGTCTGACACCTACGCAATAGTTTACACTCAACACTGTTATTTAATTTGCTTTTCATGTACCGTTACAAGCTCGAAAGTGTTAATCATATCGAAAGCTGAGCTTTCTAATAGCCAATCAATGTTAAACACGACTTCTTTTAAAAATATTGAGGTGTAACAAGCGATTGTCCAAAGTTGTCCAAAGCCTGCTGCCATTGTCCAACCGAATTCCGAATTGGACATTGGACAAAATCGGAATTCCGAAGATTCAAGTTTCGATTGACACCACTATTAGGTACCATGATTGGTCACAAATAATTTGGGAGCATTCCTCTTGGATAATGACGGCATCAATATACCAAGTTAATTAAATCCATTAGATAAGTTATAGGCTTAAGAGGGAACAAAATGTTCCCTCTTTTGTTTGGGTACACACGGCTTTTCTTTTTATGTTCAAAGAAGGAAGACACATCCCGAATTCAACACCAACATGACTAAATGCAGCAAAACCGAGCCCCCATCGCTTTCATAGCATTACAGCTCTAGCACCATCAATGGCTATTCGTGCATTCTCGTCAATACAACTTCAGAATGCCCTCCTCGTTCTTAGCCTCTGCACCGACTTCAGACCAGCTCGGCGACGGTCCAGGTGATCTCAGCTCTCTCGAACCGGCACCAGTCCAGGTTGACATCCTGCACGATCAGCGCCGGCGGCTCCAGCGTCTGGTGGATCGGATCGGTCAGTACAGTGGGCGGCAGCGGCGCGCCGCCGGCCGGCGTCAGCGCCAGCGTCACGTTCGTCACACTCTCGGTGATGCCGAATATCTGGACCTGCTTTAGCACCGAGGTGTAGTTGTGGTTGTAGTAGAAGTCGCAGAACGGTCGGCTGAGGCCGCTGACGATCTCCACGGTGGAGTTGTCGCGCACCGTGACGGTAACGCTGCCCGGTCCGATCGCCGCGTCGTCGCCCGGCAGGTAGAGGGTGCCGGACGCCTGGTAGCCCTCCTCGCAGGTCAGCGCCACCGTGGCAGAATAGATGCCGTCGACTCGCTGCTGGGATAGCGTCTCGGACGCTTGCTGAAAACAGACCGAGCGATATCAGGGAACTCCGGTAACCGAGGCGGAACGGGGAACACTTTCACTAATAATTTGTCCTCAGCTCAGCGTAAATTTTTGGAAAGAATTATCAGTGAATACAGAGGCAAACCAATTAAATGAGAAACGAGCACTCAATGGTAAAGTAACCATATAGAACTATGCCTAAAATTTTGCAACTAAACCAGGGTGGTCAAAATACTGTTAAAATGTATGCTATATACCTAGAATGTCATAACTTAATATGATCAACTCTTGCCAACCTTGTCCTTATTTGTTGAGAGTATTCACATACACAGCTCTTAAGTGTGCCTACATGTTTTTCTTACATCGTGCATACACAAACGGCTGTATCTCTGCTGTTATCAATGTAATGCTATCTGCAAAGTGAGAGGGCACACAATCATCTGAGCAAAGGTCAAACCGACGTCCTATCAAAGCCAGCTGTAAAAAAGAACCCCGAGAAGAAAATCGCGTCACTTCCCGAGTGAAGTGTCGTGAGCCTCATCCTCCTATGATCCAAAACTTTTAAAACTGTGCTTATCACGTTATTACGAGGCTTGAGAAGCTTTACATTAGCATTTCAGTTAGCGGCACGGATAAGTCTCTTGGTAACCTTGGCCTCTCGGGTAAGCTAAGCCATACATGCTAAGGGACCCGGACATTCTCTGGTTGTTCTGGGCTTAGTAGAGAGGTCTCTGGTGCACAATCCGTTAGGTACACAACCAACCGTCGGCGACCGGCCTGAGCCGTTCCTCGCTTCTATGAGACTAGACCATACTAGACCTACAGAGTGGATCGCATAGCAACTGCACTGCCGATGTCCCGATACTTTCCTGTTTGCATACTGCATACGGAAGTAAAAATTAGCTTACATTTAGCCATAGCAAGATTACAACAGCTTACATTTGGTCAGCTTTCATGTTGTAGGCAACTATCGCTGCAGCTGATTGGACTTTGAAACGATACCTCTACTACGTAGCCGGTCTACATCATGTTTAAGACGCAATGGTTACATAGAAATCACCGTGTGTAAGACAGCTCAGCTTTACAGTGTTGACCATTCTATCAAGTGGGCACTGACCTGATTGAAAATGACGCTGCCGGCCCTCTGGTAGATGAGGGTCTGCTGAGCGGGTACCGGCAGCTTCACCCAGCCGGGGCCGATGTCATCCTTCGGTCGGAAGCCCTGGAAGTACTCGTACCAGCAGGAGCCCGGCAGGTAGAGCTCGACGATCTGCTGGCCCTCGGTGAGCGCCGGCGCGATCATCAGCGCCGGTCCCAGCAGCAGCTGCTGGTCAATGTCCCAGGTGGCGTTGTCCTGCGCGAACTCGTACCAGAGCGGCCGCAGCGGCGGCACGCCCGTCTGACTGGCCTCCACCAGCAGGGTGTAGTGGTAGGGAATGAACACGTACCGCTGGCTGACCTGCGCCAGCACACTCAGCTTGAACGACGAGCTCATCTGCGTGGGGTTGCGCGGCAGGTGGCCGGCCTCGTAGTGGCTGACGGCCAGCGGCAGGTACGGCAGCAGCTGGTACCAGAGCAGACACAGCGTCTCCAGCCGCTCCGTGTCGTCCGTCGGGATGCTGGTGGAGTTTCGGGAGCCACAGATGGGGTAACCGCTCTGAGGGATTCCGTACAGACCCAGCTCCAACGTTTCCACCAGCGCGAGCGACAGGCTTGTCCAGTCCGCCGTCATACCCGTGGCAAAATGACCGCCTTGCGATCCGCTTCCAGGCGAGGTTGAGGTGCTGGTCAACATCAGACTTGGGAAGGTGTCCTTTGTCGCCTCGCGCACAGTGCGAGTCTGCTCCTGGCCATAGCGGTTGTGACTGGTGAGGTGATCACCGGACGCCTGTTTGGACAGCATGCACACGGTGCCGTTGGAAAGCGTCTTCGAGTCGCCCAAGTTCGGGACAAACGGCAGAGAGTCGTTGCACATGTCTTCGCCATCGTTGGTCGGAGTGTTACGCATCAGGAAGAAGCCGTCGATGCTGTTATTGGTGATCAGCCCCTGATAGAGCGGCTTCGCCCAGCCCACGGTGGCTGGGTTTGAGTAGTCGACGTAGGAGACATTCCAGGTGCGGTTCCTGCTCAGGTCGTACAGCTCTCCGTACACGTTGTCCGTGTTGTTGTCGTTCCGCAGGAGGAGACCCTGCACGTCGGCATCCTCGTATGGTGGGTACGCAGTGTTCTCCTCACCCACGGGGTCGCGGTACAGGGGAAGGTGCGGCGCGACCGCGGCCATCACGTGCCGGTTCATCCCGTGCAGTTTCTGCGAGCCGTTGAGGAACTCCTCGGAGGCCTCAAACCCGAGCGGCAGCAGCGCGGTGGCGTCCACACAGTCAGACTCGAACGGAATCCTGCTGGCCACCATCTGTTCCATCACCGTGTCAAAGCTGCCGACGTCTCCTTCGCGACAGAGGTGGAATCCCAGTGCCCAGAGCGGCGGCAGGCGCGGCCGGCCCACCAGCTGGGTGTACTGGTCGGTGACATCGGCCGGCGTCGGACCGGCCAGCACGTGCAGCTTCACCCGGCTGTCCAGCACCCGGAACGTGATGCTCGGGCCCGGCATCAGCTGCACCTCTACGGGCGCAGACGTCTCCAGGTAGACACCGTGCACGTCGCCGCTCGGCTCGATGCACATGTAGAACGGGTGGCTGCCCTCGGAGAAGAGCCGCGACCTGCCGAACATGGCCGTGCGCGGCGGCCAGTCGAACGTCCGCCTCAGCGTCGAGTGGAAGGCCTGGCCGAGGCCGTAGACGGCCGTTGAGGCCGGCACGACAGTGAACTCGGTGTACTGGTCGCTGACGATGGTGGCGCCGAGTCGGGTGTCGACCAGCGCCTGGCCCGTGGATGTGCGCGACACCACGGCGAAAAAGTCCCACTCTGGGCCGGTGTTGGAGGCGATGGTGAGGACGGAGCCGTTCACCGACACAGGGTGGGAGTCGGAGTTGGCGGTGAGCGCCACCGCCGGCGGCGGGCCCATCTCGAGCAGCACCCGCTCCGGCTCCGCGATGGTGACCGAGGCGGTGACGTGCGGCAGGGCGCTGTTGTTGTATGGGGTGCGCACCGCGCGTCGGGCCTCCGCGTCCGCGAACGAGTAGGCCGTCAGGTCGGCGGAGATGGAGTTGGGGCCCACGGTTGAGTTGTGCATTTTGTACGTGTAGGAGGCCGGCATGGAGTGGAAACATTTGGCTGGGCCCTGGTCTGCGCTGCCTTCTTCGTCGTACCAACAGCAGCCAGCCAGCGCGCAGGTCAGATCTGTGGTGTTCTCTTCACCTACCAGGCACGGGAACCTGAGGAACAGTCGTTTGATAGTGAATGAATGAATGAATGAATGAATGAATGGATGAATAAGGACTTCACCAGATCCCTTATACAACGCACGGTGGCCCAGCACTTCAGCCAGTACGCACTAATCAAATATTTCTTGCAACCGAGTCAATTCAATTGGCATGGATGCATGTGCTATGGTGTGCCAAAATTAAAGACACAAAAACCACTGAGTGGATGTTTATTATCCAGAGCATTCATTTCCTTTCAGCTAAACGAAACTTTCAAGACAGTTAGCTCCTGTGGTCTGCCTGCCTGACAAACATGAGCAGGCCGATAAAGCGAGCCTACAGGACAAGCAGTGACGCCGTTTTCAGACGAATTCATCGATATAGAAACACCGTTAGAACAGAGATGGGGAAGGGTGACAGATAACGGAAGCTTTAACTCAGGTTCACATTTTTGACTGGACAGATGTAATCGTCCTTCCTACAGGAGTAAGAACGGCTGTAAGATAAAGATGGTAGCGGCTTCGTGAACCTACACAGAGATAGACGATGTAAGATAGTCACGGTATCGTGTTTAGACTACCGAAAAATGGTTGTACGAGCGACAATGTATCATGCTTATCCTGCTGATAATTTCTGGAGAGATGCTGCACCCATCCATCGGTGAATCACCCGGGCTTGGCAGGACACGGTGGAATTGCTCTAAGACACCATTAACGACAGTCCTTAGATACCCTTCTGTCAAAAATGCGTTCGTTGTTCTCCGCTCAGCACCGAAGAAAGTAAAATGCAAACGAAAGTGACGGGTTCTAGAAACTGCACATATCATTATCATTTTGCAGCAGTATTTTAAACCTACATCAAAAACAAGCGACGAATGCACAAAATAAGCGGGACAAAAATGCAGAACCAGCGACAACAAAAACATGTAAAGCGACATAGTCCACTAAACACAATCTCGTGTGATCTTATGTAGGTAAATAGAAACACAGACACTGTCACGATCTAAGAATGACTGCATGCTTACCGCGACTGTACACGGAGAAGTCACCTCGAGATCAGCACATCACACTGCAGGTGACATGAGATGGGTGAGGTGAGGTGCGATTAGGCAAGGTAGCAGAGCATCAGAGACAGTTCTGACGTCAGGCCATGAGTCGATCCCTGGTCATGAAGTTCGTCTCCTACCTGTACTTGGTGGCTATCATGCAGCTGCCTCGGGTGTAGATGGCCATCTCCAGGTCCAGCGGGTAGTATATCAGGAACCACATCGGGATCAGAAGGCCGATGGTGACGCACGTGACGGTCAGGTAGGTGAAGAGAGCCGGCCGGCTTGTCAGCGCGTCCGACACGCGATCTGCGGATGGGAGCGAGGCTCGTGCGGGTGAATCGTCTCACGCTAAACGGCACTCATTGGGGCGGAGCAGAGGCAGGTGGGAGAAAAGGTGGAGGCAGGTAGCTGAGCAGACACCCTGGAAATTGAAGATAGACAAGCTAAGAGCTTTGGGATTGAAAAAGATTGGTCGGATTGAATACTGAGAAGTTCCCGATCCGTAACATGTCGAGGGTCGGACATTGAAAGGAACTGGTCCAATTTGTGAAAATGAGAGCAAGGCCATATCGCTTTGACGGCAAGCCACTCCACTCGGTTTGAATCTCAATACCAGATAGGGGCATCAATGCAGCGTACATGACATGAGTGACGTCCACACTTCAAGGACCTGAAAAAATTAGCATGTTTTTATGGATTATAGGCCAAGGGCGGCGCCACCGTGGGGGCAGTGGGGCAGACTGCCCCCACTGACAGGAGGCCGTGGGGGCAAAACTACATTTTTGCCCCCACAAAATTTGGCTGATGTTGAAAAGGGAACAAAAGACCTATGCAATATTCCTGATAGGTAAGACTTGTGATGATGCAAACGAGGCTACACAACTCCAATGCAAGGCTGTGGTGATGTGATGATGGCAAAGAAATTCCTTTATTTGTCATAACATTTCCTTCATGTGGACAATTTTGGATGGCAACGGCTAGGGGCAAGGTGCTCCTGGATTCTACGGATCGGGATGTCAGACAACAGGGGTCACCTCAAGCTTGCCCCCACTGGCGAAAATCCGTGGCGCCGCCACTGTTATAGGCCTTAATCCGATTTGATATTTGTTATCTCGATCTTGCTCAATGGTATTCTGGACTACAATTTAAAGATATTGTAGGCCTCGGCTTATATAACAACCTTTCAAGGCAACAAATAAATTGTGGCCGTGAGCATATCAAATTCAAAATCAAAAATGTATAAACAAATAATCCTTGCGCTTTGCACCATCTAGTTCTAATAAATACATTATTACTTTTGCGCATGGGTAGACACTTCATTTAAATACGTTTAATGAATCAGACCTGGCAACTATAATAACTTGCCATCCTATTTATCTAACAAATATCCAGGGACCTTTCTAACAAAACGTAACCTGGCAAAAAAAATAAATACATAGCTTACCTTTCCACGTAATTGGGCGATTGTCTTCGACCAGTTGTTCCTGGTCATCTTTCTCATAATCCATGGCGGAGGCCGCCGCTGGGGCTGGCGCCCGGTGACCTATCGATAATCGCTGAACTCAGGTCGCACTTCAGGTCACGGTTCCACAGCACACCGCGCCCCACCGGCCACTGCTGAACCGAACTGAGGTCGGCAGGCCAATCTAAGCGGATGCGATAGCGGCAATTGGCCATCGCTATCGGCCGCTATCGCCGTCTCAGTGACGTCGTCCGTCACTTAGCTATCTGCGAGGGCGGCCGGATAGAGCTAGCGCCGCACAGTAGCGCAGACAGAGACGCCAGGCCACCTGTCACTGGGTATCATTAGCTGATAATGATAGCGATTGATCCAGGCCTTCGTCGATATCGGCATCTTTGGATTGCTGGGCAAGGCTCCCAGACTTTCTGCTGTAACAAACCAACTAACACACCAAGGTTCGATATTAAAGCGATTAACCCTCGCATGTGTGCGGCGTTTTCCAGCTTCTAATGTGTAGGGGGGGGGGTCGGTTGGACCCCCCCCTTGCCGTTTGGCCCCTGATCGAGCTAGAGCTTCGCGGAAAAAACGAGCGTGTTGCCCGTGACGAGAGGAAGCCGATGATACCCAATTTTAAGGTCCTAGGTCATTGGTTGACCTTCCAGGTCAGGTCAATGACCCAAAGTCGGGAAAATCGGGACCTGTTAGAAAGTCGTAAAGTGTGGCTGCTAAGGGGTTTTTCGGGGTGCTGATCACGAATATCGTGTTAGTTTTGATCACAGATGATGTCTTGAAGCATTTAGACCAGGTCGGGTCAGGTCAGGTCAGGTCAACCAGTAGGCGTCGTGACGGGTATTCGTAGTACGTGTCAACCGCCTCTGACAGCTTCGTAACATGTTACGAAGTCACCAAAACTACTTCGTAAATGTTCAAATGGTTGCTAAATTCGAATTCAGCTCCAAAAACTAGCCTAGAAACATGTAAAACTCGAAAAAGTGACCCGAGGTCACCCGAGGTCACCAAAGGTCAATGACCTGACCTGACCTTCAGGTGACCTTGACACACACGGGAGTAACATCAAATCACATGTTTGAACGTTTGAAACCACGAAAAGCTTGCAAACACGCGGCTAGTGCGAGCCGACATACGCGAAATCGCGATTACGGCCAAACATGGTCTCGGAAAAGAGGTCACAGGTCAAAGGTCATTTGGGTCAGGGTCATGAAATTTTCAGGGTAGGTGTAAAATTGATCAATGCGAGGGTACTGAAAGTTTCGTCGCGATCGGCCGCTTTTTACGCGAGTTATTCGCGAAAAACCATGGGGGGGGGTCCATCCGACCCCCCCCCTACACATGCGAGGGTTAATTTCAGATGGAGACAGGCAATTGCACTAATTACTTCACATTTACCTCTTTTGCGTAAAACCGTACAGTATCGCACACCATTGTCCGTGTTCCAGGCATTGTGACATAGCGAATTTCAGTGTGAATGAAGGCCTCTGCTCTGTGCTAGTTTCCACGGAATCCATGTCCGACGAGTAAAAATCGCGCTCTCTGCACGGCCGGTGCACAGTAGGCCGGCCGGCCGCCAGGAGCGCTAGAAATGCCGAAAAATGAAACGTGCTCAGGGTGCAAAAAATTAATACCCACAGACTCGAAATTGATCATAGGATACGATGCCGTGCCGTGAATAAGTATGAGACCGATGTCACGGCCAATATTCAGCTCCGAACACAGTCTAACTGACGGTTAGGGAATGAAGCGGCTATCTGAACGATTTCGACTAGATTTTGAATTGCTCTTTTCTCATGAATGAACATCTTATTGGTGAAAATAAACGACTGCACATGATGCACACGGTTATTGTGATCATGTTCATAACCAATTTCATTGGGCTCACTCATCTGATTGCACTCTAAATAGTGAGTTTGCAACATGTTGCAGACATCTACATAAGCTTATATTCAATTAGACTTATATAAAAACGTTATTTTTGGCACCTAATTCTGACGGCATAATAAGATTGGGCAAGTGTTGTACTTTCGAACCGTTGTCGATTTTTTCTGCTTTTCGCTGCTAGTTTAGGAGCTATACTGGCATTTGCTGGGGTATTTTTATACCATCTGGTTGGGAGAGGGGTAGTGAACGTCCTTAGCCTATAACTTGCGAACAAATGGTCGCAGCGAGATGCGCATGGCAGCGATCGAAAGGTCTCAACAAGATGTGTTCGATTAGCATTTAAAACTTGTTTTAACCCGGCATTTGCTGGGGTATTTTCATAACACCACTTGCTGGGGGGGGGGGGGCCGTCAGACGTCCCCAGCCCATAACTCGAGAACGGTTAGTCGCAGCGGGACAGGCGAGGCGGCAAACGAAAGCTCTAAACAAGACGCATCTGATGAATACTTAAATTTGGTTCTCAGGTCAAACTTGAGGTCAAGGTCAGGTCAAAGGTAAAAAATAGGGGTTTTCATTTTGGGCCCCAGAGACCGAACTACCGACAGCAGCGAGCTCAAAATTTCTTGGCATGTGCCCAAAAGATGTAAGAAAAGTCTCATTGTGTCTAAAGCGAATTGGAGCACAGGTCAAGGTCAAGGTCAGGTCACCAAAGGTCACACAAAGTCGAATTTTCAAAATAACATTTAAATACCGTGTGACACATGTTTTTGGGGTAGTTTTGGACGTAGAACACGATGGTGGCAAGAATTTGGAGATTTGACCCCCGCAAAATGGTGAAAAAGTGAAAAAAGGGGTTAAAAATTCGAAATTTTCAAAATTCAAAATTTTGAATTCAAAACATGCTATCTGATGCAGTTTTATCTCAGGATTCCAAAAATGTCTTTTGTTTTGCTCTACGACCCCTATAAGTACCAAAAATTTGAGTTTGAAAAATGAAATTGGATATTTTGTTACTTTTTGCGCCCTCTATAGCAACCAAATATTGAGCTACGGACTTGAAATTTTGCATGCTGATTCTTCTTTTGATGCCCGAGGACAACTTGTCTCATTTTTTTGAAAAATTCAAATTTTTGAAAAAATCAAATTTTTCTCAAAATTTGGTTTGACATTTTGGACCCCTAAAACTCAATATTTTGAAAATCCGAGATAACCATCTTGTAGAAAATTCAATTTTCTATCGTTTGAGCCCTGAAAATTGCAAATTGCTTCATTTATATATCCTACAATAGGCAGGGGAGGGTCGATGCGAAGCCTTATATTCGCGATGGTGCAAAAACGGGGATGCGCATCGCGCTGAACTTTACAATAGCTTCTACAGGGGCATATTGTGATCGTATTCATAACCGAATTCATTGGGATCACTCACTTGATCCTATATATAGTAAGCTTGCAGCATGTTTCAAAAATATCAGAGGACATATTAAGGATACATTGAATTATATTTTTTTCAAACATGTGATTTCGTGCACCTAATTCTGACGGCATAATAAGATTGCGCTGGTGTTGTAGTTTCCAACCGTAGTCGATTTCTTCTGCTTTTCCCTGCTAGTTTAAGAAATATAGCCTTCAATATGAGGGGTTCTATATCCTACAACAGGCAGGGGAGGGTCGATGCGAAACATTATTTTCGCGACAGTGCAAAAACGGGGTTGCCCAGCGCGCTGAACTTTACAATAGCTTCTACAGGGGCATGTTGTGATCGTATTCATAAACGAATTCATTGGGATCACTCACTTGATCCTATAAAAAGTGAGCTTGCAGCATTTTTCAAAAATATTAGAGAAAATACTAAGGATACATTGAGTTACATTTCTTTCAAACATGTGATTTCGGGCACCTAATTATGACGGCATAGTAAGATTGGGCTAGTGTTGTACTTTCCAACCGTAGTCGATTTTTTCTGCTTTTCCCTGCTAGTTTAAGAAATATAGCCTTCAATATGAGGGTTTCTATATCCTACAACAGGCAGGGGAGGGTCGATGAGAAACCTTATTTTCGCGACAGTGCAAAAACGGGGATGCCCAGCGCTCTGAACTTTACAATACCTTCTACAGGGGCATATTGTGATCGTATTCATAACCGAATTCATTGGGATCACTCACTTGATCCTATATATAGTAAGCTTGCAGCAGGTTTCAAAAATATTAGAGGAAATATTAAAGATGTATTAAATTATACGTTTATAAAAATGTAACTTCGGGCACCTAATTTTGACGGTATAAAAAGATTGGGCTAGTGTTACACTTTCCAACCGTAGTCGATTTTGTATGCTTTTCCCTGCTAGTTTAAGAAATATATCCTTCAATATGAGGGGTTCTATATCCTACAACAGGCAGGGGAGGGTCGATGCGAAGCCTCGACCCTCCGATGCGAAGCCTCGACCCTCAGATAGAGAGAGAGAGAGAGAGAGAGAGAGAGAGAGAGAGAGAGAGAGAGAGAGAGAGAGAGAGAGAGAGAGAGAGAGAGAGAGAGAGAGAAGAGAGAGAGAGAGAGAGAGAGAGAGAGAAAGAGAGAGAGAGAGAGAGAGAGAGAGAGAGAGAGAGAGAGAGAGAGAGAGAGAGAGAGAGAGAGAGAGAGAGAGAGAGAGAGAGAGAGAGAGAGAGAGAGACAGGGAGACAGGGAGACAGGAGACAGGGAGACAGAGAGACAGAGAGACAGAGAGACAGAGAGACAGAGAGACAGAGAGACAGAGAGACAGAGAGACAGAGAGACAGAGAGACAGAGAGACAGAGAGACAGAGAGACAGAGAGACAGAGAGACAGAGAGAGAGAGAGAGAGAGAGAGAGAGAGAGAGAGAGAGAGAGAGAGAGAGAGAGAGAGAGAGAGAGAGAGAGAGAGAGAGAGAGAGAGAGAGAGAGAGAGAGAGAGAGAGAGAGAGAGAGAGAGAGAGAGAGAGAGAGAAGATTGTATCCTTGACCAATTCATGTGTCGGTCATTAATGGAGAAACTGTGAGTGCCGGGAAGTGTGTTAAAATCTTACCAGGAATGACGCCTTTTGAACTCCTCAGTAAACTAAGTGCAGTGTATGCAAATTGCAACATGCATGCATGCATGGTATTAGAAGTCTTGAATTTACATCTTATTGGTGTGGTATCTCGCTAAACGTTGTAAATGAAATGTTTTCACAGTCAGTTGAACGATAACTCGAGCGCAAATAATTTCCAGCGCTCCTGGCGGCCGCCCGGCCCACTGTGCGGTGTGTGAGACGGTCACCGGCTAATCGGGGTGTTATCGGGCGCGTTTTTCCTGATCCAACCGAGAGCGTGCACCGATGGCGCGGCAGATACCCCGGCGCGGCGGGCGGCACAGCGCAGAGGACGGACGACGGCCGGCCGGCCGGTGAAAGGAGCGCGAACGGGTTATCCCGCCCGGGCGCTGCAGTTGAGCCCGCCCCGCCTCACAGCTCCATATAAGAGCCGGGCCAGACTCAGTGGCATCACTTCGGACCGACACATCCCAGTGACCACCACCTCCATCATGAAGCTGGTAATTTACAACGGGATTCTCAGTTTTACTTCAATGCTATTTGACCCCATTGAAAAATTCATTTAGGATTTCATAATGTCTTTTCAGATCAGTGTTTTATTAAATTTTCAGAAAAAAAGAAAACTCTTTCTTAACCGTTGGCCTTACATACCCCAAAAATCCTTTAATATTTTTGAAAGAGAGAATGTGATAATGAAATGCTCCTGTGCCCACACTAGGTCAGACTGGCAATACATGTTTACATGTATATACATGTATATGTATATACATGTATATTTGGCAATAATGTATACATACATGTTTCGGCATTTACATAAATCAAAATTGAATAAATTCAGCTGAAATAAATTCAAAGTGAAAAGAAAATGATGCTCTAAGGACCAAGAGAAAATAATGGGTTGACTTTTCTCATATGGCCGTTGTCGTCTTAACGCCTTTTTGAGAAATGTCTCTCGCTGTAATACTCTTACGAAGCCTCCTTTCTGCGCCCCCTGCTAACCGGGCCCCTCCGTCTGTCAGATCGTACTGAGCTGCGTGCTGGCCTGCGCGGTGGCGCTGCCGCAGCAGCTGCTGTCGCCCAAGGAGCTGCGGGACATTGACCGGGCCGCGGTCATCACCTCCTTCACCAACGAGAACCTGGCCGACGGCAGCAACGAGAACGCGTGAGTGCACCGCGGTCTTACCTACATACCTTGGGCGAGACCTAATCGCCGGTGTGACCGGTCACACCCTCGGTAAGAGTGGTCATGCAGTGCTTGTGGCCAGCCAGACTCTGGGCTTGACCGCGAGAAATCGTGCCGCGAGAAAGACTGGTCACACCCTGGGCGTACTGGGACATCTCTGATGGGAATGAGCATTAAAAGTGTCAATGGGAGATAGATACTCATTTAATCACTGCATTTTCTTCTTAGCAATAAATGGATGATAATTTGTCACACCGAAAAGTGACTTTTGCTTCTGCAATTTGTGCTTGTAAAACGGAATTAGTGGGTAAATGCCACATCATTCTACAATTAGAACATGAACCCGTCTCTTACACCACTCCTGGTTTTCGTGACAGGTTCACGGCCGATAACGGTCTGGAGCGTCGTGAGCGGATCGTGCTGAAACAGGTGGAGATCATCAACAGTGACGGACAGACCGAGTACCGCACCGTGCCCACCTACCAGGGATCCTTCAAGTAAGCCGGCACGGGCGCACTGTGTGTGCATGGAGAGGGAGTTCTGCTTGTTACATATCGGTTCACAGCCAAAAACGGGCTTCAGTAAAATGGCGTTAAATATGAGGGAACGTTTTCAGATGCAAAACAATGTTGAAACTGGCAAGAAAACACCGCACGATCATATACGAGCGATCGTTTACTTTTCGAAGCCTTGCTTCTGCGACATATAAAATAAATTGTTCGTCCGGCGCCTCACGTCCTGATCGCTCCAGACTGTCATCCGCTCTGACATTCACCCCCGGTTCTCCCCCAGGTACCAGCAGGAGGATGGACAGGTGATCGAGAGGACCTACGTCACCGACGAATACGGCACCCTGCAGATCGACGGACCCGACCTGCCGCTGCCCGTACCCGACCCGCACCCCCAGTAAATATCGACCCGACGACGGCCGGCGCGCAGTACTCGGCACCCCGCTGACTGAGAGATCAGCGGTCAGAGAAGACATCAGGAGCCGCCACGAGGCCGCAGTCCCTTCCACCCATCTCACTCGTGCATACGTGTTTGTCGACGCTAATACATGAATGACATCATCGCGTATAAAGGTCTCATGGATGGCCGCCCGGGGGCCGGGGTATTAGCAAAGTAAGACGGCTCAAGCCACGAGTTTTGTCGAAATGAATAACTTAAGAGCAATGATATATTTAGGGTTTATGCTGGAGCACAGCTTAAACAGAAAAATCCCAGTTTATCCCAGTAGACCTCCATTCGTTGTTTCATGACGCCGCATCTGTTCCCGTCATTTTAGGGCAAGTCTTATTTCAGATTTTTTCTTTCTACAATTCAAATTACCCATGATAAGGTATCATGTGATTTGCGTCGGCGGCATTTAGCTACATAAAAGCATCGACACGAAATCATACATAAGTGTAGTCAATGCTATCGAATCATATAAAAAACTTATCCCGTTATTGTTAACACCATCAGAGTTCATCACTTGGTACGGATTGGGCAATATTACAACATCCCGCTGCTGACACCTGTGTGCGAATTTGAGGCCATCCGACACCGCGGGAGATTCTGGGTCTGTTGGCTGGTAAACCCAACCCAGTTATCACGTCACCGATATAACTGGCGACAAACCTCCAAAAAAGGCGATCGTCCGGTCAGGCACGTCAATGCTGTAGTTTATCATCTCTGAGAAAGAAATGTACGGCTAAAATAGCTGTACCTATCAGCATGGGAATAAGGATCCCAAGGGCGAATGGTCAGACGTTAACATATCTTTTTCTTATTTTTAGAAAAAAGGCTATGTGATAGTTCTATGCCCTGCAATTTAACAAAGAAAATTAATTGATAAAATGAACCAAAAACGGCGGTCAGGTTAAGCGACAACGAGCCGACCACCAAGCCAAGCACGAAACAACAGTGACATAAGTCGCTCACTTTTCATGCAATGCCAGGCGACGCAGCGAAAAAGTCGTTCCGCAATCAAAAGTCGACTGGAGAGTGCTGAAGGGGCAGTGAGGGATTAGACTAGTGCTCAGGTTAGGTGCAGAAATGCTGCCCCATTTGGATAAAACATCTCTACCGCTTCATCACTGCATCGAGTTTCACACAACTTAAATTATCTAAGTATCTACTATCGTATCTAACTGAGCCACTTCATGCAGCATATTCAGTGGATGAATAGTGGGTGAGTGGAGATGCTTGTCCGCAGTGTGGTTGCGAACGTTGTGTGCATTCCGTGTTTGGTGTGTGTGTGATTCTGATGGTAACTCTTATGTTCCCCCCCCCCTCCCTCTTCCCATTTAACCCTGGCGTATGTTTTTTATTAGTATTGACTTTAGGCACAGAATAGCCACGGTGAATCGTGGAGTCGTCTGCTTCTGTCAATACACAATAAAAAATGAGTTGACTGGCATACTTCCTTTTCGAAAACTGATGCTTAGTGTAGCCATGCTTAACCCTCGCCCCGTTGGGGGGGCCATTTTGGCCCCCACCCCTGGGGTTTTTCCTGAATAGCAAGAAAACGGCGGCGCGCAGCGCCGCCAAATTTTCAGTACCTTTCCGGGCATCAATTGGACACCTTCACACCAAATTTCAAGTCTTAGGTCACCTTAGGTCAGGAGTTATTGAGGTCAAACTGAGGTCATGTTCGAGCAAAAATGAGCAAAAAACATGCAATCTTGAAACGCTCACCAAATCTACAGTTATCAAGCAATTTCAAAGTTCTTTATATGGTCTAATAGACAAAAAGCGGCGCTACAAAACTGCTATCTCGGATTTTCAAAATTTTGGGTTTTTGACCCAAAAAATTTCAAAAAATTGATTTTTTTTTAGAAAAACTAAAAAAAATCAAAATTTTTCCGAATTTCGAAAAAAGCCGGAATATATGTGATAGTCCCTGCGCTCTTCTATATACATACCAAATTTCAGATCGATATCTCGTTTTTTGGCCAAGTTATAGCGAAAAAAACTGTTCAAAAATGATGACGTCAAATTTTTGAACTCAATTTTTAGCGATTCTAGACCTCGTACGGCAAAAAAAGACCACCATTGAACTCCCCGTAACGAGCTGCATCGATTCGATACCCATTTTATGCAAAAATATAAACTTTGAAATTTGACCTTATTTGACCTGACCTTGACCTGACCTTGACCTGACCTTGACCTGACCTTGACCTGACCTTGACCAAAACGTGACCTAAGCTGGCCCCAAAGGCTGCCTGACCCACATAATCGCATTTGTCATGTAAAATGGACCATAAAACATGTATCACACGACACTTTCATATTGTGACCCCCCAGTGACCTGACCTCAGTGACCTGACCTGGTATCAGTGACCTCAACTAGCAAAATATGTGTTTGAAGAACATTTCCCCATCGATGATTTTCAATGAAATGCATTTTACTCGATTTTACAACGCATTTCTTGAAATGCCTGTAAACGATGAAAATTGGACCTTTGACCTGACCTGTGACGTCATCGGTTTGACCTAGGTCAATAAAATTGGGTCACAAGGTAGTTCCCTGATAGGGCTATCCAACACCGTTTGCCGCTTGTCGTTACGTTGCGTGGTTCTCGAGATCTTAGGGGGGGGGGCCAAAATGCCCCCCCCCCCCCAACGGGGCGCGTTGCTCGGCAGAGCCCAACGGGGCGCGGGTTAACCAAATGATCGATCGGTGGCGAAAGCGCCTCATTTCTTGTCCTCATAACTGCAGCATTTTGCGTGGTATTTAGGCAAGAAATCATGTTTTTATCATGGCCTTCTCGGATAATTTGAACCCCATGTAATAAGGCATAGGCGGCGGAACGGGGAGGGCACTGGGGCACCGTGCCCCCATTGATTTTGGCATTTTAACATTGGCTTGCATGGAAAGAATGGGACCAAAAGTCGGCAGTGCCCCCCCCCCCCTTTAACCCTATTCCTGGCGGGCTCCGCCGGGACAAGAAACTGGCGGGGGGCCGATACGCCCCCCCCCCTTCAGATCTCAAAAACTACACATCGCAGCGACAAACGGCGAACGGCTTTTTATAGGTCGTTTAAAGATCTGCAACTTTTACATAAAACATTTTCAGGTCAGGTCGATATTGAGGTCACCCCAGAGGTCATCAACGATAAAATGTTTTGGAATTAGTTACCTATATAACTTTTAAACTAAGAAACATAGAGACATAAAACCAATACATTTTTTGTTGCTCTCGACGAGGCGATGCGAAATAAGTATTTGATGACCTTCACAGGTCAATTTGAAATTTGACCTGAGGTCAAGGTCAGGTCATTCATCAATGAGGTTGTGGGGTGTGGTCATGCTGCATACCAAACGACGCGCCTTGACCAGGCGAGCAGTTTGGTACCACTTACAAGTCTTTAGCACCATCATGGCGTGATTTATTGACAGAAAAACGATTTATGACGTCACATGACCTCAGATGACCTTTGCCGGTGCCCCTGTCGATTAGCGGCACCAGGATCATCACCGATGAGATAATCTTCCATAATACTGAAAGAATTGGGTGGTTTTGACTCGTTTAAATGAAGCAGGAGGCGTTTCAATATTTTCCCATAGGCTTGCAATGTAAAGGTCACGAGTCTGGCCTGACCTCAGGTCACAGATATGAAAATTCAGAGATATACAAAATGCACATACTGGTACCCTAACTAAAACCTGAAGAGAAGAAATTGATCGGTCAAAAACTCTAGCTCTGGCATGATTGCAAACTTTTCTGAGGTGGGGTCACCAATCCGCCTCTGGTGACCTGACGTGACCTGACCCGGCAACTTTTTTTTTTGTCAAAATGTGCGCAATGAATGTTTAGAAAAAGTCACCGAGTATAATGAGCTTTCAGTCTTGCGGCGTTTGGCAATGGCACAAGAAAAACCTGAAGGGGGGCCTTAAAGGCCCCCCCCCGCCAGGAATAGGGTTAATGGAAGGTGTTCCGCCACTACTGTAATGTCGTAATGAGAAAGTCCCGTGGATTAGAATGCCCCGTGCGACAGGCCATCCAACCTCCCTAGTGGTCACTCAGCGGGATTGTACGCTGACCGAAACTGACCCCCAACAAGTCCACAGGCGTTCTGGTCATGTGAAAGACAATCTGAAACAGGGAAGTGTGGCCAATGATGATGAAGGGCTGCTCCTGAGAGTTCTAGTGGATATCGGCTACATGTTTAGGAAAAATATCCGCGCAGTGAACAATCAATTCGCTCCCAACAGCAAAGGGTAATAGGTATTCACCAGCCTGGGGAGAATCGGGACGATTAATTATCCACTTGAACGCCAGGACATAAGACGGTTTGTACCAAGTAACTGGACAGGCAGGCGAGCCTGACCGTCCAGTTACTTCATATTAGCGTTTACGCGAACCCATTATAAACAAAGCATATGGTTTGTTGGTCGTAGCGCTGGCAGCGCCACCTCGCGACCGGCAAGGTCTTCCAACAGCGCCCCCAAACGGCAAGGTCCTCCAACAGCGCCCCCAAACGGCAAGATCCAGCAACAACGCCCTAAACCGCCCATCCGATATTGGTAAAAGGACATTTTTCCAAGGCCATTTCTTGATGTGAAAGCTATGAAAGCATTGCTAAATCACGAGCTTATCGGGATGCATAAAATACTATGCAATTATACATTTAAGTACATAAATGTTTCGGCATTCAACTGAAAAGAACAGGCTTTCCAAGTTGCAATAATTCGAACGAGTTCAAAGCTAAGTAAGCCACGTTGGAAATTCATTTTATGATCGACTGTAGAGACAATGGGGAATACGCACCGGTGTAGCATCCATTGGATGTATTTATTTACACGTGTCGGACAGCATAAACGAATCGACAGATAAACGGAAGCAATCCACACAAACGTAAACGAAAGCCGAGAAGCAAATGTCTTGCTAAGATGAGCCAACATCTTGCTCTTTATAGCCGCGCCATGTCGTCCGACTCCTTAACTACACAGCTGGAGGTGCCAGCTGAGGCGGATGAGTTCTTCCTCCGATCACCACGGACCAGCAGTGCCTCTTGTGGTCGACAACAAAGTAGGACAGTGCAGCTTGGGGGTCGACAATAAAATAGGAACAAATCGATAAGTGCATTTAATATTTTAAAAAAAAACAGATAAGGGCATAAAATAAAACTGTCTGCTGCGATCGGAACCGCTACGAATAAGTCATTGGACATGATTGTATGCCACACTGAGGCATGAATAAAACATAAACGTTGTCAAAATCTCAATGACTTGTGCTGTGCGAGTACTTGTTATTTCGTGCACCTACCTTGACTGCCTGCAGGTACTCATACTACCTAGTATCTAAAACCTTGTTTGTTTTCAGGTGAGCTTAATACTCTCGCGGGTATAGTAGGCCACCGAGAAGTACCCTATACATCCAAGTGAGCAGAGCCTTTATACACACCACCTACGATCATCTTTACTAGCATGATGCGACACTTCGTGAATGAGTTCACACGTTCAAAGATTAGAGTACACCAATGTCTTGTATGTACACATGCAGTTTAACCCGCGCGGGGCTGGGGTCTCCAGCCGAACGCGCGGGGCTGGGGGGGGTAAATTTTACCCCCCCCCCCCCTCCCTGTTATCTCCCGAACTAATGGTGCGATTTGGAAAATTCAAACGCCAATCGAAAGCTCTCATCACGAACTACTAAAAACATGTACTTAATTTAAAGTTAGAGGTCAAGGTCAAGGTCAGGTCAAGGGTACAAATTGCAAGTTTCTACAGTATCGGCCTTGCACCGTAGTTGCCCAAGAATGGAGTCATGGACTGAGACTGATCGCCCAAAACGTGTTCTTAGGCTACCAAGACAATATTAGTTGCATACAATATCATTCAGAGGTCAAGGTCAAGGTCAGGTCAGGTCAGGTCAGGTCACCAAAAAACAAAATATAGAAAAGGGCATGTGCGACACATGTTTTATGGGTCATTTTACTCATAGAATTCAATAGGCACACTCAATAAGTGATATGGACCACCTCTGGATGAATTTCAGGTCGAGGTCAGGTCAAGGTCAGGTCAAGTGAGGTCAAATTTTGAAGTTGGTTGTTAAGGCCTAAAAAGGTGTCTATCTGATGCAGTTTTTCACGGCGAATCGAATGGTGCTATTTTTGTTTCCGTACGAGGTCTAGAACTTCCAAAAAAGACATTTTTCAAAAAATTTGTGTGTCGTGACGTCATTAAATTTTGAATAACTCCCACATTTTTGAACCGATTCTTCTAAAATTTGGCATGTAGGTGCACATAGACCACTTCTCTGACATATATTCCGGTTTTTTCGATAGACTCAAAATTTTGGATTTTATAATGATTTTCCCAAAAAAATCAGTTTTTTGAAGAAAAAAATTTAGGCCAAAATCCAAAATTTTCAAAAAACTGAGATAGCCATTTGATAGACAAAGTAAAATTACGTATAACCTTTTTTGTTACGTCTTGATTCCTTTAAAAATGAAGATGTTAGCGGCGTTTGAACTTTTGCCGTTTTTGAGGCGAAAATGGCGAACATGACGTCACTAAAACGTCAATTTCTCAAAAATTTTCCGACGGATTTCGCTCAAATTTTCAGGGAAGGTGTCAAATTGATGTAAGAAAAGGTACTGAAAGTTTGGCGGCGCTGCGCGCCGCCGTTTTTGAGATATCGCAAAACTTCGCGAGGGGGGGGTAAAATTTACCCCCCCCCCCAGCCCCGCGCGGGTTAACACTAACTTAGCACGTCAACTGATAGCTAGCTGTGTATAAAGTGCCATCGTCTATGAGCCTCGCAATGGCGGATTGGACGTCTAAGTAGTCATGTAGAGCTATGCACGCAAATGTCTGCAGCTGACCCCATGCTGAGGTCTGAGAGAATTTTCAAACTAAATAATCATTTCCAGGATCAGTGAGTAACTCAATAGTACCCGCAGCCGTCGACGCTACGGAAGTCTTTCCATCCAGTTCCTTGTCACTTATCGCGTGTCCGAATATCATTCCGCTCACACGTACAGGAGCATTTAACTTTATCCACTCACTGGGTAACTTGTCGGTCAGAGTGTATCTGCCGTTGCCACGGAGTTAGCCGCATTTAGCGGAACTGTTCACAAAGGATTTAAGACAAGCGTGCTACTCCCGTCAGGGATGTACTACGACTGATTCAGTTCCAACGGTAATGTGACTAAAAGGAAATAGTTCACTTTTAGCATGGGGTTTGAACTGATATTTGAAGGTGATTTGAACATGGGGTTAGATCGTCCAGCATCTAATATTACACAAAGTTGTTCCATGCAAACTAAAGCTTCACGCTTTTAATCCAATCTTTACGAAAAAAAGACTAGCCTGTCTTGTCTTCTACTTTCGTACGAGCATACGTGCACCCCATGTTATTCATCCAATGCAATGGCACATTCGTTCTCAGCTTTCATGTCCTTTCTACCAGAGCCTCATTGAATCCCGCGGCACTCTACAATGCTCACATCTCCTCCGTCGCTACACTCAAACCCTCCCCCTTCGCTCCACCCCGCGGGTCCAGCTCAGTTGCACGTGTGCCTCATCACCGTCTTGTTGCACTGTTCGCACTGCACGTGGCAGCAGTAGACGAAGCGGCAGTTGCACTTCTCTGACACCTCGAGCACCTCGGTGCGGAAGCCGCGTCCGCAGCAGAGCAGGTTGCAGCCGTCCATGCCCCACGAGGTGCGGTTGCACTCGCGGCCGCGGGTGCCGGGGATGCCCAACCTGTGCACAGTTAGGCCTGGTCAAAAGATTTGGAAGCATTACTCTCAGAGGGAAATGGTCGGCTCTTCCAATATTAATCATTGACCTGGAAAGTGGAAACCTCTGTGAGCCTGAAAGAGTATGTGCACGATCCAGTCCTCACTTTGTGTTTTTGTCGCAGTAGTTTGGCGAGTCCTCCAGATAGACCAGGTCGCGCTTGGTGGGCCTCTTCTGGCGCGGGTATTTGGGCTTGAGTCGGATCCTGCGGCGCCGACGGACCGTCTGCATCATAGTGGCCGCGTCGAACTTGGCGCGCAGACTGTCACCGATCTGCAACAATGGATCGAACGGCGTGTCAGAGGGGCGTAACAGCGTGTCAGGGGTGGAATATAGCGGGAGTCGGAGGTGGGGACGACATAACTGGCGTCAGGGGTTGGACGTAACTGGCATCCAGCCGGGGAACAAGGGTGGGTGTCTGCTACGGCAGAGGGTCAGTGGTAAAATGTTGCCCGCAGCATTACACATCCACAATAGTGTCTGAGCTGAAACCCGACTGTCTTCCTGTCGTATAAGGCAACGTTAGGTAGACTTTGAATACAGATTCTCGATCGTACTCACCTGCCGAAAAGGCGCCATTTTTCTCCAGCACACCTGCATATTGCAGGATCCTGACACACCATGGCATTTGCACAGACGGACCATGTTCTTCTTGATAATCTGAAAACAGATACAGTTTAGTGAGGAACCGTCAAAGACTACACGCAGTTTAGTGAGGAACCGTCCGACAGTGCCAGTGCGACAGTAAGGTGTCTCCTAGTGGACAGCATGACAAAACAATTGTTTCTTTGAAAACAATCTACTTATATTGATCAGGCAGTGGCAACGCAATACCAAACTAAGCAGGACAAAAATAAACGCCGGTTCAGCCAAACTACAAGAGTCTCTCCTATCTCGATTTAAAAGCAATGGGCTCAAGCGGTGCTCCCTTTTTATGTGGCTGTGATGCGTGCCCTGGGGGACATAAACATTTTCCATCTATGGTAACTCCCCACCACCGCTGGTATAAAATTTTACGTCTCCATTTTATGATCCATAATATCTTTATCATGGACCGCCGGCGGCTAGTAAACTGAGAACAAAGGGGCTTTCAGTGGAGAGGCCGAAACTTCAGTAGTCCGGATAATGCCGCTCTGAGTGGCCCTCTCCGGTATTGTGCGCGGTACTATTGTGCGCGATCGGCCGGGGGATATGCAGGTTTCATCAAACATCCCAGCCTATTAACAAGAGACTCTGCCAAGCTCTCGAACGAATTGGACATGAATGGATATTTTCCAAAGCTGCAGTTATGAAACATACATGCGAAAAAGAAAGCTGTCCCTGCCATCGAATGCATAACAGCGCCTGTAGAATCGCGACCTCATTTTCGATTAGAGTGGAAGATCAAGGAGCATATAACCCAAAACGCTAGATCTGATTTCAGAAGTCACTTGGACTTGGACTTTCCTTTATTTGAAACCCCAAGCTCTTACCCGTCTGCCGGCTTCGTTGTTGTGCAGGTTCATCTGACCCTCGGCCGAGTTTTTCTCCTCGTTCGAGTCAACAAACTCTCTACTGAACATCCTTCCGAAATCCACGTCCTGCGGAAGCACAAATACAGTGGTTATCACTGGATCGGCAACTTAAGCATTACATCGTCCGTGCACGGAAAATGACACAATTATATCACAGTTGTGACACAACTACTACATCACTTTCTAGCCCTCGCCCGCACATGCCATTTTCCCATCCTAGAACGCACATGGGGGGGGTGGTTGCCACCCCCCCGCGCCATTTCGTTCCTGTTGGAGATAGAGCTTAGCAGTAAAGACCAAAAAGATTCTTTGGGAAGAGACGAATCCAATGATACCCAGTTTTACCTTCTCAGGTCAGTCATTGACCTTCCAGGTCAGGTCAAACTAAAAAATGTTGCTGTTTTGGGTCACCGTTGGATATCAAGTGTGCTGCTTATCAAATACCGATGACGATGCTGTTTTCTGGTGCCAAGCCAGCTAGAACCTCTTTGTCACACTACCCGACCAGAATTTTGCTGCTGAGGTCATTTCAGGTCAAGTTAGGTCAAGGTCAATTATATGTGTTTGTATGTCTGTGTGTGTCTGTGTGTATACTAATGTGTGCACCGATTGTTTTTGGGTCCATATTACATGAAATCATGATCTGAGAAGCTTTTACCAAAAATCCAGTCAAAAAACTTCAAAAAAGTAAATTCAGCTTGCCTAAAACGCAATTATCTTAGATGACCTAGGTTGACCTTGACCCTGACCTTGACCCCTGTACATCGTCGAACAACATGTTCCATGATAGGTGGGAGGTAGGACTGGCAAAAAAGGCCGAAATCAGGGTGTCAAAAGCTCATAAGGCCCATGGCAAACGCAAGATGTTGAGAATTGGCCATTTGGGTCATGACATGACCTGAAAAACAAGGTCATATCTCCGAAACCAAAAATCGCAGAAACTTGAAATTTTCAGTGGACATCAAGAAAGGATAGAGGAGCAGCTATACGAAAAATCAGCCTTCTAGCTCTAAAAATGTTGAGTGCAGAGCAGAAAGACTACCTGGGGGGGGGGGGTGGCAACCACCCCCCCATGTGCGGGCGAGGGCTAGTGTACCACTTCTCCATTGACAAATGTTCTCTCTCCTCCGAGAATCAGCCCCCTCGAAAGTGCCCCCAGACGGGCACCTCTGCGCATCCCCCCCCCCCTCTCAGAACCAAACTCCGAGAACCCGTCCCACTCCCAGCGGCGAGCTGCAGTCACCTCTGAACTGCCACCCACCTCTAAACAGGCGCTCCCAGTACCCACCTCCGAGCAGCCGCCCCAGTACCCACCTCCGAACAGCCGCCCCAGTACCCACCTCCGAGCAGCCGCCCCAGTACCCACCTCCGAGCAGCCGCCCCAATACCCACCTCCGAGCAGCCGCCCTAGTACCCACCCCTGAGTAGCCGCCCCAATACCCACCTCCGAACAGCCGCCCCAGTACCCACCTCCGAACAGCCGCCCCAGTACCCACCTCAGAACAGCCGCCCCAATACCCACCTCCGAGCAGCCGTCCCAGTACCCACCTCCGAACAGCCGCCCTAGTACCCACCCCTGAGTAGCCGCCCCAATACCCACCTCCGAACAGCCGCCCCAGTACCCACCCCTGAACAGCCGCCCCAGTACCCACCTCCGAGCAGCCGTCCCAGTACCCACCCCTGAGCAGCCGCCCCAGTACCCACCTCTGAGCAGCCGCCCCACTCCCAGCGGCGCGCCCGGCGGTTCAGGATGCGCTGGTCGCAGCCGCACTCGGCGATCTGACCGCGACTGCACGCCCGTGTCACGCTGTAGGCCACGCCGGCCGCCGACACGGCGTGGATGTAGGCGCGCTCTCGGCTCTCTGAGAACAACGGGGCACGGCCGGGCGGCGCGTGAGGTCACGGTAGGGAGGTTTGACTGATAGCATGCGATAAAACCGCAAAAATCACACCAAAAATGTGCATAGACTGATCATGCGATTCGGATGCTTCTAAGCATCGTGAATTATTTGCACACTACCTACCTATGCATTGCAGGATATCACTTTAGCGGTCGGTCTGTTTTAATGATCTGAATGACACTAACAAAAACGAGCTGTATTTTCTCGGATGTATCTGATATTCGGAAGGATCGAAAGATTGATGTTATCTTCAACAATGCGTTAAATCACGTCTAACATGCTGGCCGTACTGTCAATCACACTATGTCAGGATAGTACACAAGCACTTTCAACAGTAACATCCCTTATAACTGACAGACAAGCGTGAAACAGGGATCTATCATTGAATGGCAACCAAGCTTTTCACTTCTAAGCGTATGCAAAGCACTACTGTTTGGGGCTGGGTTACCGCAGATGACGGGGTGGGAGGGGTGTGGTGGACGGGGAGAGCGCGTACTGACGGCGACGATGCCTCCGAAGACGGAGGACGCGTTGCTGAAGGTGGAGCAGTTCCAGCGGTGCGTGCGGAACTGCCACTGGCACTCCTCGATACCCGTCTTAGCGCCGTAGCCCACACACTGAAATACGGACGGAAGGGTCAGAATTCAGAAGAGCAGCGCCATATCCAACACACTGAAAGACGGGGAGGAAGTGAGCCAGGCTCTGCCCTGCGCCCGATTGTGACAGAGAATGAAAAGGCATGGGTGATAAATTCCGAAGGACGTGCGAATATATGAGAACACTTTTACGGCGTCAACGGCATATCTGATGGCAATATAACCCGTTTTGGCAATGGATGAGCCTACGACGCCATTTATAGAAACCAACACTGCTCAATATGGGCTCAGTAATGTCATAAAAAGGTGGGAGTCACTGCTCAAACATCACACTTCACTGCCTGCCAGTCACAAACATTCTCCGGGCCGCGCCCGCCGGGCATATTGATGTCCTCCCGATAATGGCAGCCGGTGAGCGGGGAGCCGTCTCACCAGTCAGCCGCTGACTCCCGAGCGTGAGGAGCGGCCACACCCGTCAACTTTGACAGCCGGCGCATATGGCAGCTCAATGGCCAATGCTGCCACAGACCCGCACTCGACTACGATTTACAGGCTGTCGCGAAAAGCACTAAAGTCGCAGCGTTTTACGACCTAGCCCAGCAAAATCGGCGTTGCTAGGTGGAGTTACGAACCAAAACTAATGGCGAATAATCATAAACTACAAAGTTTTCGGCAATGTCCTGAAATACTCCAGCAAACAACCTTCATTCAGCCCACTTTGACTAAGTGAAGTGGCAAATCAGCTCATGCAAGTGTCGAGCGGGCTCGTTGATTCGCGGCCCCTGGATACGCCCGTGCTGCATGTATAGGCGGTGTGCCACGCAGCAATCCGGCGGCTCTGCGCCGGTTGCGGAAAAATCTGTCTGCTCCGGTCATGTGACTCCCGCGGGTCGAGAGCCGCCAATCGCTGCGCGCCACGATTGGCCGGCGGGTCGGCCGTCCGGGCCGCGCGGCGGCGACCCCGCCATTCGTGCACTGGTTCTGTGTGGTTCTTGTTGTGGGCGTCTGCGTGAACGGTAAGATTTGCTATTTTGTTACTATGAATTGTTGTAAACCCTCATTTGTTGTTAACTTTGCTTTGCTTAGTGGTTATTTTCATCGTTGGCTTGTATTTGTGCGTTGTTAAGTTAATTTTAATCTGTTGCAGGACGCGAGCTAATTGTCGAGCTAATGGCGAGCTAATGGCAAGCTAGTCTGTGGAGCTCATGACTAGTTGATAGCGGAGCTAATGTCTGGGATTTGAGTTTTGAACTCCGCACCACAATATAAACTTGAAAGCATCAGCACCGTGTCGTGGATGGGAGGCAGCAATCGTGACGCAGAGCTCGGCACCCCGGCCCTACACATGTGGGGGAGGGGGGGGGAGGGTGCCCAAACAAAAGGCCGGCGCAGCGGTCCATCGCACCTGGAGAATGTTTCTGTCCAGGCCGCAGAGCTCCCGCTGCCGCGCCACCAGGTAGTGCAGCTTCTGGCAGGTGTTCTGGTAAGAGCTGGACGCCATCTGAAGGTCGATAGAGCTCTGCATTCCCAGCAGCCTGCAACAAAACGACACAGTCACACAGTCGCACGGAGGTAACCGCGCGTCAGTCAGACATGATTATTTGTTTGAGACATTACTAATGAGGAGGACGACTGAACAGGCTGAATAGTTTATAAACACTAAGTTGTTCGCATATCTGTAAAAAGGACTTTACATACCCTGTTGATTTTGCGCCCACACCCTGTTTGAGGCGCAAAATCAACTTTTCTGGAAATCCGCATAACGTCAACCCTACGTCAACCCAAGACACGAAAATCGTTATTTCTTTGCGACAAGGGTACGGCATGAAACGTGAATACGTTCTATCTAATGTTTATGTAATATTATTGCTTTGCGATTGTTTTAATAAAATGTCCTAGCATACATTATGCCTATTTATTTTTTCGGCATTAAAAAAATGCAACTTCGTAGCAGGTTTGGCAAAAGGTTTTTTACATTGCAAAAGTAAGCATATTACTAAATATATATATATAAATATATATATATATATATATATATATATATATTCGAATAGTTCGGAAGCAGGTTCTCTTTTATGCAAGTTTTGTTAAACACAACAGCATAATGGGCACTTATCTTCTTCTTATTAAGACTTTCGAGGCGGCGAATGCACTGTCGAGGTTCGGGTTCGTGAGAATGTAAAATATTACCAAAAGATGTCATAAATACAAAATATCATAGCTATATTGTTGTTCGACGTTTCGATCTATCAGAGATCATTTTCAAGAAAATTACAGTCACACAGTTTTAGAAGTCATACTTTGAGATAAATGGGTTCAATTACATTTTTGGAACAGATATTACGGATATGATACTAAAACTATTCAGTCGATGAGTCACAGCATTCAAAACAAAATAACACACTTTTGTTTTCGTACATGAGCTATAACCCTAAACACATTCGTTCATCCTCCGCGAAGGAAGGTCACATCAAAAACACCATAGCGAGATACGTACGCGCATATGACAGATAAATCAGTCAACCCGCCGCGAGTACTTTGTCGTACAGTGATAGAGATGTGTTCTGCTTTGTCTGAATGTTGATGATTGGCTTTTTGTCGCGAATGTACACTGTTTCAAGTGTGACGAGCCGTCTACGATCCTGACAGTGTGCTAGGATGGATGTGTTGGTCACGAGATCGTCACGTGTGAGTGCGGTGTTGTGATGTTCTGTGTAGTGTTTCTTGGGGGCTCCGTCCTGCAGGTGCATTGTGAGACGTCTGCTCAGAGACGTTGTGGTGTGACCAATGTAGTATACTTCGCGGGTCGCGCAGTCCCCGGCTGTACATTTAAACTGGTATACTACATTGGTCTGCTTGAGTGTTGCCGTGCTGCGTGTGGGATTGTTTTGCATCACCAGTGAGGATGTCTTGGGGCTAGTGTAGTAGACCTGAACTACCAGTCGCTGTTGCCCATCCGTAGGTTGGCAGTTACGGCGAACAATACCGCGGATCACCTGCTCATCCGTCTTCCATGTTGGAGACATCGTGCTGCGGTAGTACACTTTTAGCTCGTCTTTCTTTGTCTTTGGCTCCTTGTTTGTCACATGGTTCTCAAGCATGTTTTTTACAGCGTCGTCAAACATAGAATTGCTGTACCCATTATCTACTAGGATCTTACGAACCCTCTCAAGTTCAGTGTGAAGTAGATCCCAAGTCGAGCAGTGTTTCATGGCCCGTCTAATGTACGCCCTTATGACACCTGATTTGTACGAGTCAGTGACGTGACTCGTACAAATGGGGAGGGTGACGTCACTGACTCGTACAAATCAGGTGTCATAAGGGCGTACATTAGACGGGCCATGAAACACTGCTCGACTTGGGATCTACTTCACACTGAACTTGAGAGGGTTCGTAAGATCCTAGTAGATAATGGGTACAGCAATTCTATGTTTGACGACGCTGTAAAAAACATGCTTGAGAACCATGTGACAAACAAGGAGCCAAAGACAAAGAAAGACGAGCTAAAAGTGTACTACCGCAGCACGATGTCTCCAACATGGAAGACGGATGAGCAGGTGATCCGCGGTATTGTTCGCCGTAACTGCCAACCTACGGATGGGCAACAGCGACTGGTAGTTCAGGTCTACTACACTAGCCCCAAGACATCCTCACTGGTGATGCAAAACAATCCCACACGCAGCACGGCAACACTCAAGCAGACCAATGTAGTATACCAGTTTAAATGTACAGCCGGGGACTGCGCGACCCGCGAAGTATACTACATTGGTCACACCACAACGTCTCTGAGCAGACGTCTCACAATGCACCTGCAGGACGGAGCCCCCAAGAAACACTACACAGAACATCACAACACCGCACTCACACGTGACGATCTCGTGACCAACACATCCATCCTAGCACACTGTCAGGATCGTAGACGGCTCGTCACACTTGAAACAGTGTACATTCGCGACAAAAAGCCAATCATCAACATTCAGACAAAGCAGAACACATCTCTATCACTGTACGACAAAGTACTCGCGGCGGGTTGACTGATTTATCTGTCATATGCGCGTACGTATCTCGCTATGGTGTTTTTGATGTGACCTTCCTTCGCGGAGGATGAACGAATGTGTTTAGGGTTATAGCTCATGTACGAAAACAAAAGTGTGTTATTTTGTTTTGAATGCTGTGACTCATCGACTGAATAGTTTTAGTATCATATCCGTAATATCTGTTCCAAAAATGTAATTGAACCCATTTATCTCAAAGTATGACTTCTAAAACTGTGTGACTGTAATTTTCTTGAAAATGATCTCTGATAGATCGAAACGTCGAACAACAATATAGCTATGATATTTTGTATTTATGACATCTTTTGGTAATATTTTACATTCTCACGAACCCGAACCTCGACAGTGCATTCGCCGCCTCGAAAGTCTTAATAAGAAGAAGATAAGTGCCCATTATGCTGTTGTGTTTAACAAAACTTGCATATATATATATATATATATATATATATATATATATATATATATATATATATATATATATATATATATATATATATATATATATATATATATATATATATATATATATTAGGGTGGCACTTAAAAATCAATTTTTGATTTTTAATGCGTGCGGGTCGTTTTCCGGTTCCATTCCCGTAAAAAATAAGGGAGGCAAATTTTTATGGGAAAATATTGATGTTTAGAGGTCGCGAATCAAGGTCAAAATTGAGATTTTGGTAGCAGATTTCAATGTCGTTAAAATCGTTTCTGACTTTCCTCTTACGCTGTAATCGGATGATAATAAGGCATTTCTTAGTCATTTTCATATTGTTTATTGATATTCCATGCAGCTTCGGTCACGCCAGAACGCTGGTCTACGTACTCCACTACTCCAGTTCCTCCTCTTTAGTAGAATATTGGCGCCTCATTGGAGGGAGGGGTATCATGGGCAACGGGCACCCAGATCACTTTGTGTGTAGCCTGGTTAGCAATTGCAGTCGATCTTCGGGTGTCAGGCTAGCGTTTTCTGTGATCTTTTCAACGACATGGAGGAAGAGCTGGCGCTAATCTTTGTCTTTCATGAGTGCCAGTCTACATCAGCGCCATACCGCGCGGCTGGTGAAGTCATTCACCACCCGCAGCTCCCGGACTACACGAGATGCGGTTTGGTAGCTGCTGTCCTCCCAGTGGCCTTGGTCATTGATGATGAGCCCCGCGTCCAAGTCGTGTATCCTTGAGAGCTTTTTGAACGATTGTGTGAGGAAGCTTGCCAACGTCTCGGTCGCGAGAGCGGCGTTCATAGTGTCCACCAAGGACTTATGGGGCGGGTCCTCGTCCTCCCTCTCCTACAAGTCTATTGCCCGCACCATGTCTTGATTGAGCCCGAGGGTCGGGGTCTAAAAGCTCCAGAATCACCAGCCGATCACTCAAGTACTACAGGTGACGGCCGAAGAACGGGACTGTCGCCTTCGACAGCTCCTTGTCGGGGTAGGTGCAGAATGAGTTCACGAAGGTCAGGTCCAGAGCCGGCGCAGTGGCAGTAAAGCCCAAGGCCGTATAAGAGGTAGAGCCCCAGACCAGGCGGCGGCGGCGGCGGCGAACTTGCAGGCAACGAACAGCGCACAGCGTCTGATGACCTGGGCCTCGGCCTCCGTCAGCCGGAGCCGCTCCCTGAAGAGGAAGGCATCCACAATGCGGATGGTCTTTGCCATCCACCTAACTCAGTGGAGTACTCTGAGGCGGAGAAACGGATGCCGTGCTTGGAACTCCACCGAGAGCAATTACGCAGAGCTCCAGAAGTTTTCGGTAATCTTCCCGGAGCTAGGCATAGTCCAGCGATGGAAGCGATGGAAGCTGACCAGCAGCTCGTCCCACTCCGGAACGTCGTCGACGGCGAACGCCGCAGGTGTGATCCTGTCAATGAAGTATGAACTCCCACCCGCCTTTGAACCTCTTAAACAGCCGGATGTAGAGGCCACTCGAGATTCTAGGGCAGGTGGAGAAGGCCTTCTCTAGGACCAGCTCTTACACGTGGTGCCGGCAGGCCAGCTGGAGGACGGGCCGATCCAGCTTCTGCTCGATAAGGGCTAAAGTACCGTTCACCAGCATGCTGTTCGCCGTCGTGGCGTCGAAGCAAAAGGCCGCAGTTCTGCTTCTCCAGTTCCTAGTCCCCCAGCGCTGTGAGCATGACCTCCTGTGCTTGGATGGAGGGGAGATTGGGAACGGCGAGTGGCTTGGCCACCCCAATCCCTCCCCCTCTCCATCACCAGGACCTAGAATCGATCGACGCTCCTTCTCTCGCGGTTCAGGATTCGCGGTTCAGCCGGAGTCGTATCCTAAGTTCCGTGCCGCAGTTGATAACAGGTTCACGTGTTCTTCACACATTACGGTTGGGCAGTTTGGCCCGGTCGAGGCCAGTTCACTGTTGGGGATGTCCGCTCGCCCGCATGCGCTTGGGAGTGTGAGTCGACGTTCCTCTCCCATGGTCGCCATCGTCAAAGACGTTCCCTCCGTGTGCGCGCCGCAACGGCCGGGTAAGT